CGTCGAGCTGCATCTGGAACGCTAGTTGGAACGGTTGGAACGCACTGCTGTGCGAATCGCTGATGGAATGATTGAGAAAATCCATGCAATTCTTACTGGAAAACCGGTATTTTGGGTTTTGCTAGGTTTTGGCTGGAGCTATGAGGATTCCAAGGCATCCCATGGATAGAGCTCGTCGAGCCGCATCTGGAACGCCAGTTGGAACGGTTGGAACGCACTGCTGTGCGAATCGCTGATGGATGAATTCGAATCCGCTGCCAACTTCACTTACGTATGAGAAACATCGTTGTGTTCATAGTGGTAACACACTTTTTCTAACATTTCTACACATATTTTGCTTGACGCGATGTATTTAGGAAGAGTATATAGCTGTAAAGATGTGATTAGGAATAGCACAGAAACGAAAAAAACGGAAGTAGGTCTTTTTGTAACAACGATTGCTCAGTGATATTTCGCTATTTTTCGCTAAAAAACACATCAACTGATAGAGAAATGTTTGCTCTATTCCGGAATGAAAAAATCAAGTCAAATGGACGTCGGATGACCGAGATACTACGACTTTTCGAAAAGGAATAAAAAAATGCGATGGAATTAGAGTCTGTCACTCTACTCACAGACCAAAAAAGTAATTTGAATATTGAATTACGTCTTGTCATCAAAGTAAATTGAATCATTAATCTTTTTAAATCGAAAATATTTACTGCAGGTTTTCCATCATCAAATCCACGAAAAAGAAAAACATTTTTCGCCGTTCTTATCGTAATTCGTGATGAATGACCAACCATTCTATTCAACTTATTGATACAATAACTTCGAAATATATGAGAAAAAAGTGACTGACAGGTAAAAAGTAAATGCCTACGCTCGAATCGATGAAAAATTTTGACTAGTTTTAATATTCGTTTATCTACGTCTATCGAATTCTACTGCTTAAAAAAAGGAGAGGTAATTCAATAGTTCAACTTTTTTCAAAAATAAAAACTTGCTATAACAAAAGGATCGACATTGCTCGAGCATTTTTTTCTTCTGTTCTGCATTTTTCTTTCATTTTCTTTTTCAAATCACGTCAGATTATATTGTCTTAAGATGATACAGAGCAAATAAATCTCGATTACTCACTTTTTATGACTCAAATTGCGAAGGCTTTCTATAAAATAACGTCAAGCCAATGCACTGTCGACCGTACTTACTCAGAAATAATTGATTTCAGTTAAATCTTCGACAAAAACCAAACACTCATGGAGCAACGACATAAATATCATACTGCACAACCTCTTGATTCTTATCATAATTCACCATATTTTATTGATTTGGCTTCTGCTTCTAGAAATGAACATGTTACAATGTTCAACCAAATTCCATCCGATTTTCTATCGAACAACAATGAAAATCGAAGCACGAAAAATAACTATCAACATGCATCACAAGGAGTAGGTGCGACTTCAACGGATTGTTGTTGTTGTTGGTGGTGTTGTTTTCATCAACACAATCACAATGTCCAAGATTCAAGTGATTATGGCTGCTGTTCCTGTTGTGACTGTAGCAATTGCTGTGATTGTACTAGTGATAATTCCGGTGGTTGTGATAGTTGTGACTGTGGTGGTTGTGATTGTAGTTGCTAAAAAATAGAGATTCTACTGAAAATCAGGATTCTGTTAAGTTCTATTGAGTCTTATTTAATATAGTGAAATGAAGACGATATAGAATGAGATTTTTATTTAGAACATAAATACACATAACCAAACGATAGAAATATAGATAGATCGAATAAAGATTATGTCAAACATTAATGCGTGTTGAAGAACATATTCTATAAATCTACCATCAGCTTTTGTTGAATAGATCATTTTCATAGAAAATTCACCATTTCTATACCCAAATAAGTATCACCATTTATATTACCAACAGCAGCTACGTTTAAAAGTCCACTAGATTTCAGAATATTTTTACTATTAACATAAAAACTATTGATTTCATATTGATATATGATAGAATCAATATCATTCCAGTTAAAAATAAAACCAATATATCAGATTTGTTATCATTATCAAAATCACCAACAACTACTTCAGATTAGTGATCTGATTGCATATTTATTGAACAATAGCATCATATTTCATATATTCAGATCAAAAGTCAAAGACAATCAATTTAGTTTTCTTTTCTGAATATACAATTCCATATTATCAATTAAACATTCTTCTTTATCAAATCGTTCAATACAAATTCTTATACTACGTGTATTTCTTGGTATTTTTCCTGAATCAAATTGTCTCTTCCAAGTAAATGTATTATTTATCAACAAATAAGATTCTAAAACAAATGAAAATCATCAAATAATCTATAGAGAAAAAACTTGTCTTACTCGAAGTATTAAACCATATCGATGTAATATCATAAAAATTCATTTCGATAACAAAATTTCCATTCATACAACGTACATCTGCTGAAAAGTTGTATTCCGTTTCATCACTGTCTATAAAAACAGCATAAGCAGCAATATCAATTGTTTGATCAATACCAATTTTAACATTCTTCACTGTAAAATTAAAAGAACAACTTCTATTTGATGATGAATCATCCGTTAGAGTTGGAGAAGAATACCCTTGAATATAATTCGTTTGCCAATGTGTCAAAATATGATTATTAAACCAATTTAAACACTTGAAAAAGAGAAAAATCTATAAAAAGAAACAATTGAATACAATTTCTTCAAGACTTACATCAATTTCTGCATTTCAATTTCTAATTAAATTACTCTGATCAATAATCCACATTTCATCAATCAGAATAACATTATTCATTTGAAAATATTTTGGATTAAACAGCGTTATATTGATTGGGATTGTTCGAAAGTCAATATTAGAAAAATCGATAAATAATGGCCCGAGTATTTCAGCTTTATCAATCGATTGATTACGATTAGCATCGAACAGATTCGTACCTTGAAATTGTATCATACCTTGAATTTTAATTCCATGGAAAACCGTCAAAGCTAAATTCGTTCGTTTAAAACTAATATCACATAAATGTGATTCACTAAAATCGCTTTTTTCTATATTTGATCCATCGAATCGAACATGAGTTTTGCCCAGAGCATCATCGGATCCTAAATAACTTTTACTACATTCAAATTTCGTTCGTAAAAATTTGATTCCAAACATTGATGAATTACGAAAATCAGCGCCATCTTTAAATACACAATCAATAAACGAAGCATTTGTAAGATCAACCGATGGTAAATATAATTTATTAAAAGAAAGCTTCTTATACGGTGTACTTTTGATTGTTATATTTGTAAAATTTGCACCAGATAAGTCAAGTAAGATATCAGCTGTATTTGTTGATAGAAGATCTGTTTCATAAAGAAAAAGGAAAAGACGAGATTTACGTTGAAAATCTAATTCATCTAATGCTGTTAACGTTTTTGTACGAATATATTTCAGTTTTTTTTCATTATCAATGAATGAATGATTGATTTTAAATAAAACATTGGAAATATCATCAACATAGGTTTTGAAAACATTTTGATAATATGATTCATCAGCTAATTGTTGATCTTGTAATCGAGTTAGATAAGCTAATGTGTGATCTTGTTCTCGACGTTTGTCTTCAATTTTTTCATCGGCGATAGCTATTACTATTGTTGCTACTCCAATCATTAATGGAATTAATGCATTTACAGCTGTATTTAACCATAGCTGACATCGAGATTTACGTTTCACTTTTTTTTCCGATCGTTGTCGTTGAGTACGATTCATATTAAAAACAATTATATCATAAGATCGTTTGTGTTTTATATATGTATATATGAAAGAATTTAATATTAATTGTGAATAAACAAAGAAATACGATATTATTTATTGAAATGCTATACTAGTATGGCGTCATACATATTGTGACTAATCAAATATATGTGTATATAGATATTTTTCTTTCAGTTGTACTTTGATTATGATATCAATGATTACTCATTTTTTGACGTTTATTATGATATACTCTAAAGTGCTTCCTTCTAAGACGATGGAATATGGGATAGTATATGAATGAATGTAGCAAAGAAATTTTGATCGTTTTAATATATGTTCAGATGATTAACTTAATTAGTAGCAGAAAAAAAACTTCTCGAGACAAAAAGATGAGCTTGTTGAGAAACGGCTAGGATCTAAAAGAAATCTCATCATGTTCAGTAGTTGTCAAAGTAGTCCTCTCATTGAACTCGCCTATTCCCTGACTATAGCATATGATGTAAATCTCTATCAGAAAAAAATAAATATCGTAGTTTATTGTTCTAATCAATGATATTATGGAGGCACAGATAAAAAAGTCAGATATAGAATAATTTCGTGACCTTCTTTTTGGAATAAAATTATTTTCAATCATATTAATATTTATATAAAAATGCTTACGAAAGTTGCCATCGCCGTTCCATTTGATAGTGCATTTTGAGATATAGCATGTATTTTTGCACTATATCGTTTTGGAAAATAGCGCAACGTTCAAGTGGACTTTCCAATGGTTGAAAAAAAACCATTGGTAATGAAACACAAGTAACTTTTTTTTCTGCTTGTTGAGTGAATGAATGAAAACTTTTGATTGTTTCTGTAGTATTTATTAAGAAAAGAAATTGTGACTATACTGTAGTACGTCTAAGTCATGTCTAAAAAATTATGTTATATATCAAAATACTTAGAGAAAGAAATGCTTTCACCATATTACTTTAGGCATGAAAACATTTGTGGCCTGAATATGTCGTAGATATTTTAGTATTAATGTAAATACTTTATTTTAAGGTATCGTAGATGTCATAGTTCCTTACTTGTAAATATCGATATCAGATAAACATTTCCATTCTTCATTTATCTATTGATTTCTCTTATTTTACAACGAACAAAAGCAAGACTTTAAAACTAATGCTCACTCCACTACTACTACTACTACTACTGCTATTGCTATCATTTCATCGAACAAGAGGTGAACGTCGACTTTATTATCGTATATATTCTTTATGTGATTAATCATTTTAGTAAATTCGTCTATAGCGAGAGCATTACATTGCAGTGCATATTCGGGTGATCAACATGTTTGAAATTCGCTTCCATTTAAAGTTAATATATTGAATAACTCTAGCACATGACAACAAAATCAAGTGTACAATTTAGCATCACAAGTTTATTGCCTGACTCAGTTGCAATCATTGCATATTTCGAATGATACAACGGAGGGTTATTCATGTCCTAGTTCTTATAAAATTGGAACATTTACTAAATTAACATGTCTGTCATTATCATATATCGATGGCAAAGAAATTGCAGAGACAATCGGTGAACTGAAACTTTGATGTATTCCGTATCCATTTGGACTCGATATTACACATGTGACAGGAGCTCTAGCTGCTTTATCAAATTTATCAGAACTGGATATTCTTGTACCTTGAGCTGAACTTCTACCTTTTTGTTAGATCTTGTTAAATACCTTTATTGGAGACTAAATAACCACAAATTCGATAAGTAAACGCTCTCTCTCACATAAGAAATATGGTCCGTATATATACCTATGACCATTGGTTATTTCCACTATATGTTTACCTTGGAAAATACCTTTACTATCGCACACATAGATGAACACTAGGAAAAGACCAATAGAAACACCTATCGAGGTTAACAGAGAGAACGAGCGAACATATGTATAAGAGAACCGAAAAGAAAAGAAAGAAAACCTNTTCTCAGCCTTACATCGCGTGATACCTGATTGGTCAGTTTTGTAATCTACGATAGCTACCGATCAGTCTCAGCTATCTCCCCACGTTATTCGTGAAGTTTCTGTTAATATTGGTCTTGAATTATGATGCAAGCACACACGATTCAAAAAATCTTTTCTCATACGATTCTCCCTTCGCATGAAAGAGCATCTAATTAGTCCTCGTACCACTCCTCAACACACTATTGATATAGTCAAATTAGAGATTTAGTAAATTTCGAGCTAAGGCAGTACGGCATATCTCTCGGATATACAAGCGTTGTTCGGTCAATGGTTGAACCCATTTCAAACGATTTTTTTTTAAATTAAAGCATTTCGGAAAAGGGAGGAGTGTTTTTAACCTTTGACGTCGCCGGCACAGTTCTTCTCATCCCGTCCTTTACTCCACCATCAACATCCAGCCCCAAGACTCCTCCCAAACGATCCTTTATTGAGGTTTGAGCGTTTTCGGAAAAATGTTTTTTTGACCTTTGACCCTGACACAGACAGACAAACTATTTTTTTCTGTATGACCCTCCTTTCAGTCGAGGGAATAATATCATCAACTGTTGACCTTGTTGCTTTGTCACTTGCAGGTAACACAGCAATGAGCTAACGCAGCAGCGAGTTGACACACAGACGAATAAAGCATGTTTTATCAAACCCTCAATGGACTTTAAATGCTATACTTTGCTTGATTTTCGTGATAAGTGTATCTCGTATACTTATGCGTCAGACTCGAAACTTGCACTCACGTACTCGAGTATTGTTACTGTTCGGGCCTTCCGCAGCACTCTCATCGGTCCTCGAATGCTCAGATTCATGTTTTGAGCAATACATGTGTGTAGATTCTTCATTGCGATCTTTAATATGTCAAGTGATCTTTGTCATAATTTACATGATGGAAAGGAAAAAAGTTATATATGCTCACAGGATTGTACGTGCTCAATGATGGAGTTCAATTTCCGGAAATTCATTCTCTTAACACGGTTCATACAATTCCCTGGCAATCGCTATACTGCATCATACGGTATTGTAAACATATAGAACATATTTTACATCCTTTTCTCGCCAAATCCCTCGGTTTGCAAAATCATGTCGAGAGTAAATATACCCAGGTCAACAAATCCGATGCTGAATCCGATCGGATCTTACCGGATCCGACCATCCGACAAAATCCGATCGGATTCCTGGAAACGGAATTGCATTGGAATCCGACTAGAAAAATCCCGTCGGTCGTTACAAATTTTATGAGCGATCTTTCTAGCTATATTCTATGATGACCCTTAGAAAATCCAGGAAATCCATGTTTCGGATCCGATAAAATTCAGCATTGGATCCGATGGGATCCGAGTATGGGATTGTTCGACCTGGGTATGATACCTGCGCAAGAAAATAGATATCAGCGGTCAGATATTCAGTAAAAATTGGTACCAATTTGAGATTTGCCATGACCTTCTTTCTTTTCAGGCTTCCATTCCAGTGTTTCGAAACGAAATTCGCACACAATTAAGCAACAAGGCAGAGGATTTACCGGGTCGATTACCTTTTGTACCAGACATGCTTGTCATTTTAACAAAAAATATTGCAACTGAGCTAGGTCTTATCAATGGTATCAACATAAAACCTATCGGAAATGTTTCCTAATCATACGAAATATATTCGTCGACCGATGTATGCTTCAGTTGAAATAACTAAGTCGAATATTGAATGTAAACGTCAAGATCTTCAACCAAAGATTATTCCAATCCCACTAGTTGAACAAACATGTACCGATGTTGCCGATATTCTTCCAAAAGATAAGAAACTAAAATCAAATCAAAAGACAATCGTATATATTAAACGAACTGCACTGCCGCTTGTATCTACATATTGTATTACAACACATAAGAGCCAAGGTCAAATTGCAGCAATATACGTACCACTACCACCCGCAAAGCGTTTGGTTGATCCGATTATATTACCATCATTCGACTACAACATTTTACTTATGAAACGAAATAAATCTCAAGTTGCTGAAACAGAAATACTTGATCACGTTTTCCAGAGCGGTTTCAATAGATCGTATATATGATAAAACAATTGGTATTATTTATATGTAGATTTACTATGGAATATGCAAATTTCCCATAAGTTCCGTTAACTTTCATAAAATCATGGATTAATTTTTTTCTGTTCGTTCTTTTTTTTATTGAGTATAGAATAATTTTCTCGTATGCAGCTGATTCTGTAAGCTCATGAACGGACCCTCTCAACTGTACTATAGAATGATGAGCTAACAAAGGACTATGACGAGTTTATAATAATAGAATCCAAATGATTATCAATGATTTCAACAATGGAAAACATTCAATCCTAGTCATTCAGTCGAGAGTTAAGCGGGTCTGTCTTGACGAGCGTTACTTGTATTTAATATAGATATTCTATTCGGTAATCATAATAATACTTTTCAAGAACGAAGAATATTTCCAGATCAACCTTATGCTTCTTATAGATCGATTGCAATCCGGTGATGTTAATCATGATACTTGGTCAGATATCAGTATTGATGGTACTGATGGAAGTATTCTATTTTTATTATTCAATGCTTATGATGAAACTTTTACAGCACTAGTTCGAATTCTACTGGTAAATTCTCAATTGATCAAGTTTAATTACTGTTCTTGATTTAAATGAAGATAATCATTTAGATATATTTTTATTCGATATTAATGGTACAAAAAAACATTTACATAATTCTTGTCAATGTTAAATGCAAAATGATATAAAGTTCTTTTGCTCTTGACTTTTTTAAATATCATAGCAAATAGAACGACTTTATTTAATTTTTTAAAAAAAGATCAAAATAGCCCTTTTACTTCAGGCACTTGAAGATTTAATAAAGATAATGCTTGGTCATAGATACACAATTACGCTCTTCATCTCCGAGCTGATAGAAAAAAAGTAATTATATCTTTAAGGCAATAGATAAATGAAGTACTTACGTAGAGTCAACGCATGATATACTAATAAGTTGCTATAAAATAATCGACAATAGTCTTTACTTACACATTGTTCTAAGTTTCTTTTTCTTTTTATAATATTTAATTGAAGTTTCAAACCGTTATTCAACGCAGAAATATGTCGTTGATTTACATTGCTCAACAAATTACAATTTATGGTGGTTGCTGTATTCTTATCGCTGGTGTCTTTGGAAATGCTATAGATATCTACATATTTTCAGTTGTTCCTTCTTATCGCAGAAATCCGGCGATATTTTATTTTCGTATTGCTTCTATTACTAATATTATTTTCCTTATGATTCATCTCTCTATCCGTATTGCTTTAGGTTTTGGCATTGATGTAACACGAATATCGACAAGCTGGTGTAAGTCAAGAACTTATTTACTGTATAGTCTCGCTATGATTGTTTTATCATGTATTTGTATGGCGATGATTGATCAATTTCTAGTCACATCGCGTCACGTAAAACTACGGAATTTAAGCAATATTCGATGGGCACACCGTTTGGTTATCATTATAATAATTATAGGGTTTCTTCATGCAATCCCTGCAGCCCTGTTTTATGATATTTTGCCAACGACAGGAATGTGTGAAATCACGAATAGCAACTATGCGACGTACAGATCGGCATTTCTTCTTGGTACACTGACCCTTATTCCAATTATAGTGACACTTTTATTTGGATATTTGACGTATCGAAATATTCATTCGGTCCGAGCTCTTGCCGAACAACATGCTGATCAACATATAGTACGAATGACATTATTTCAAGTTGTCCTGGTTAATGTTTGTTTAATTCCATATGGAATTATTGTTACGTATAGCTATATCACAAAAAATCAAATGAAAGATGCAAGTCGACTTATACATGAGTCTTTCATCGTTTCGTTACTTACTTTGTGGGATTATGGTTATTATTCGGTATGACATTAATTTTGTGAGACTTTGATAAAGAATTTCTATTGTAGGTAACTTGTTATGTATTTTTCATTTCATCGCCAAAATTTCGTCGAGCAATCCGAGATCGAATATTATTTTGTCGATCGAGAAATCAAATCGGTAATTTTGGGGCTGCCTAACAGATTCTTGAAGTTTACTTCTGAGTGTTGTCTGAGGGATTTTGTTATGCGGATGTGTATTACTTATATTATCGTTTACTAATTTATACTACGAAAGTATTAAGAATATGTTTAAATAAAAGTTTGATATTTTATTGATCGAAATTACAAGTCTATTCCATTGCTTCATACGTTACAACTCTGTAATAAGGAGAGCTCATCTTTCAGATTTATCTATTTTTTTGAAAACATTATCCATTGACTAAAAATAGACTCGAAATCATCTTTCGTAACGTTCTCGTTTAGTCACGCTGCGCACATGATGTTGGTTCTTATAATGGAAACGAGTATTAACCTTTTCTTCGTCTTTTTTATCACACCGTTTGGTACACGAGTAGAGTAACATTTCTTACATTAGAAGTGGACGATCTCCTTTCAGTTACGTCCTTGAAGATGCTCTTCTATCATGACTTTTTGTGTAGATATTTCATATTGTATTTATCCTCAAGCTACAGCAGTAACTGAAGTAAGTGATAGAAACATAAAGCAAACTTTTTATTTGAAAATATTTCTTTTTTGCTTTAATCTTGTTCATGAAGTCAAAAAAAGTATTTTCTTCCAAGCATGATACAACATCAATAACCGATGATCTAAATAAAAATTCAACACTGGAATTGGTACACTTACCAGTAGACAACACGACAATATTATAATAATGCTCGACAATGACAAAGGAAGTTTGAAGAATGTAACACAATTTCCTGTTTGCAAACACACACTATTTATGTCATCAGGCGATGCTTTAATTCCCTCGACTGAAAGGAGGGTCACATGGAAAAAATTTTGTGTGTATGTTTGTTTCAGAGTCAAAGGTCAAGATATATTGGTATTATCAAAACTTCATAGAACATGGATTCGGAGGACTTTTGAGAGTGGATTTTCACAAAAGAGAGGATCTACCGAATTCGACTTATAATATAAGTGGCCAATTTCTAACACACTACAATCCTAATTAAGATTTAATTAGATAGGAATAGATTTAGTTTGAGTTTTACATATATACCCTGACACATATTTGGCTTTTCGCTCAAGAAAGATTCATCCAAGGGCCTAAATCTCAGATAATTCTAAAATTTTATTCAAGAAAATTCAATTTTTCGATTAAATTTCATTGGATTCAAACTAAAATAACCTAATGTCTGATTATTCTGTTGCAAAAAAAACATAAATACTGGCTCGAAGGGCATTGTTTTGCGATTAGACCGAATGTCAACTGTGATGATGCTTTTGAGCTGATTCTACAGTGTGTGCAGGCGATTGCTTGAATAGTCGGTTTATGTAATAGTCTATGACGTTCACTGGTGAAATCCTCGTCATTATATATGTTATTATTCGCATTTTTGGTTTGCTTCATTGACAGTAAAGAATTTATTGAATGATGTATGAATGAATTGAGTTGGATGGCTGAAATTGTAAATAAGAGCATGATAGACCTAGAACATGGCGCCATTTACATAGGGCATACCAAAAGTTTCGAGAGTTGTATTTTAGAACAGCATCGTAAGCTCGAAAAATTCTTTCTCTGCATAGTGTGATAGAGGAAAAGATTCTGTATTTTTCTATGCTATCTGATCATACTTCAACTAGGTCATAAGCATAAAATTTTCAAAAAACCTGTTTTTTATCATGCTTGACAGTTACGGGAATACGTGTGGATATTTTTTGAATAACTTTTTATAGAAACAAGATAGAGGCCTGTGGTTTTCAGCATTCGAAAGAGGGGATGAAGACGCATCGAGCCGTCCGTTACAAATTTTCCTAGTATATTATCTGAATTTTGTTTAATCAATTTTGGAAATGTCGAAAAAAATGGATTTTATCAAAAAAACAGTTTTTACACAAATTGATGGAAAAATCACTCAGAACGTGGACTAAAATGTCTATAATTCCTGAATAATTAATTCTGAACATCTGAATATTGTGCCGCTTTNATGTCGAAAAAAATGGATTTTACCAAAAAAACAGTTTTTACACAAATTGATGGAAAAATCACTCAGAACGTGGACTAAAATGTCTATAATTCCTGAATAATTAATTCTGAACATCTGAATATTGTGCCGCTTTGTAGACATTCGATGAACTATGTGAATTCGCATTTGAAAAACTGAAAGCCCGCTGTAAACATCTTACAAAATAGTCTTTTTTAAAGAGATTGATTGAAAACCTTTAAAAACTCATGTCTAATAACTCATACTGTATGGTTCGATGCATCTTCATCTCCTCTTTCGAACAGTGAAAACCGCAAGCCTCTATCTTGTTTCTATAAAAAGTTATTCAAAAAATATCTACTGAATAGGAACTACTGTAACCGTCAGGCATGATAAAAAAACAGGTTTTTTTGAAAATTTTATGCTTATGACCTAGTTGAAGTATGATCAGATAGCACAGAAAAATACAGAATTTTTTCTCTATCACACTATGTAGAGAAAGAATTTTTCAAGCTTACGATGCTGTTCTAAAATACAACTCTCGAAACTTTTGGTATGCCCTATGTACTTACCCGTTACACAGTAACATCAATTTGATGGGCCATCGCTCGTTTTCGGATGTTGAAGAATATCGAACTGCTCTTAAGAGAGGTATGCTAGTGATATTTGTCAATACATGTTTTGGATGGTCAGATGTAAATGGTATTACATACGATTCAGTTGCTTCTTCAAGCCAATTTCACGTACTAATCTAATACTCGGATGAAAATTACTGGCTCTGTCTAATATTTGATTAATTTCGTCCAACGATTCCGTTTGAAGTCATGAAAATGTCATCAATATATCTGCAGTAAGGAGTAATTAGATAGATGAGTGGCAATTATAGCATCTAAATGAAAGTATAAATATATCCGCCATAGATTTCATTTTAAGTTGCTTTTTCCATTTCCACATAAAGATATTGGCCAAACTTAGAGTAAATGCTGATCCCATTGCACCACCGAATACTTGCCGATATAATTTCTTATCATAGGTAAACACATTTTCTGTCAAAACCAGACGAGCTAATTTCCGAATGGCATCAAGTGGAATATTCTTCACTTGTTGATAACCGTGTAGTAACCGAAATTCAGTAAGTATGTTAAGAGATTCTTCTTGAGGAAGCATCATGTATAAATATGTGATATCAAGTGTGCACAAGTAAGTAGCTGGTTTCAAATAGCCATTTGCAGCATATACATCGGGACGATGAATGAGATTGACACCATCGATAAGTGTTGTTAAACGAACGTGTTTATCAAACAATGGTCGAAGTAATTGATCTTGAGGGTATGGGTGTGTGTGAGGGTCTCAGGGTGGGTTTAAGGGTAAACATGAATATGACGATAAAGAAAGATGTTGAAATTAAGAAGATGCTTTAATTTGCGGTACTACGTATATTGATATTGATAGTTTTAACGGGTACGCCATAAAGAAGGAGGGGTTTCGTATGTTTCAAATATTTCGGTCATTTTTCATGTTATTGATTTTTATTTTTTAAAAGATGTATCAAATAATTCTCTACAAAATCAAATACTTTAGTTTTTGGACAATGGATACAATCGATTTGTCCATGGCAAACAACTTTCAAAGACAACATCGTTCTGGATTCTTTTAACAGAACGTTTTAGTTCGCCAATTAGAGTCTTTTTTCATGTCACCTTGTCCCAATTCATCGATTGAGCAAATTCCTTCCAAATACAATAGTCCAACGGATTTAAGTCGGGACCATTTCGAGGCCAATGATCCTTGTCGATAAGCGAAGGAAGGTTTTCGGCACACCAATCTTGAGTTTTTTTCGTGAGTGTGGGGTTTCGCACCGTCTTGCTGAAAGACCCAGTCGTTGCCAGACACCTTATTACCATACTTAAGAGCTATTGGTAATACTCTTTTATACATCGATCGCGATCGACTGTGCCTTTCTCGAAAATAACTAAAGGCGACACTCTTTTAGAGCAAATTCCGAACCAAACCATAATTTTTTGCGGAAATTTACGTTTTTCCCAGATACCATCTCTGATATTGGCCTCTGTACGATTTACTGCCCATATTCGGTGTCGAAAATTTGTTCGCATCCAATTTGCAAACTTTATTCTTTCCATTTTATGCTCATCTGTGAGCAATGGTTCAGTTTGGACTTTATAGGCCCGGAGTTGAAGATCATCGTTGAGCACTCTCCGAACACTTGTTTGAGAAATGGCCAAGTCAAGAGACCGCTTACGAGCGGACACATTTCATCGACTCAGCCGTTTCTGGATTTTTTGAATAGCTGCTTTTGTTCGAATGGTTCGAGGACGCTCAAGTGACTCTGATAGATGGGTTACTTCTAGATTAATTAATAATTATTACGTCACCGAACATTGAAGGGAATATTTTATTTTCCATATTTATACATTTGACTATAGCTGGTATCATGCGGTTAAACAGGTTTTTTCTGAAAATCGGTATCGTTTGCTAAAAAAATATCGTTAATCCTCAAAAAAACTAACGGCAAATTCGAGTTTCTCTACCCTGAAAGCCTTCGCTCGGCCCTTCTAAAAATAGTCCTCTGTTTAAAAGAAGTGATCTAGAAGAAAATTTTAAAAACTGACACTAGATTCGTTTCGTAAAAGAATGGTTCTTTGTCTAAAAAATACTTTTTTTTAATTAAAAACAAAAACTAACGCCAGATTCAAAGTCTCTGCATCGAAGTATCTCAAGAAACGACTTTTTGAAAAATCGATTTTCGATGTTTTTTTTGACGTTGCGGACACATAAGCAAGCAAAAACAATTTATCTCTATCGGACTCTTCTCTACGAGAAAGAGAATAAGAAATTTTTAATTATATCTTTTAATTTTTTCAATATTTATTCTTTTCTAATGAAAGAAATATCATAAAAAGTAAGAATGAATTGTATCGATCTTGGTTTAATTTTTTACTTCACTGTAAATTTCCATCAAGTAGTTTTCACTTATCATATTGACTTCGTGAAATCCGCTAATCTAGGAAAAAAGAAGACTTGATGAGGATGAAGATGAGTTCTGGGAAAGCTTTCGAAATGTCTTTGTTATTTATTTATATTTGAAACTATGAACTAGTAAGAACAGCACTTTTTCCAAGAGCAAAACATTCAAATTGCTCCTAATTTGCAATATCACACCTTTCGAAATCGAAATTCATTGTTCACCATATTATGTTCCATTCGAGTTTGACATAAATGTAAGATGAAACCAACGAATAATTTGTTGAAGTGCTTTTTCCATTTCATTCATATATTTTTTCGATGGCCATACAAATAAGAAAAATTGTAACATGACCGGTATAAATGAAATAAAATAACTAATAAGAAATACCCAAGAATCATGAGGTGATTTCATGCATCCACTAAAAAATGGAATAATCAAACGAGGTAAACTTAATAATACAATCAAACATGGTCCCCATAATAGATGCTTGTATTGTTGTAATTGTTGTTTGAAATGTTGGGTGAATATGACGTTTCTTTCTATAATAGAACGATTACGAGCTGCTAATACAATAATAATAATTGCTGCAATGAAATTGATAAATACAGGCACAATAAAATGAAACAAATTAATAATAAAATTGTACATATCAATAGATGATGAATATCGAACAAAACACCAAGTTCGTTTTTCCTCTGTATCAAAATCATCAATCAATCTACGATAAAGAGGGTCATGAATATATGTCACAGTTATTATCAAAAGAACAATTAAGATCAATCGTTTAGCAATTCGTTTACTCTTCTTTATATCGAAATGAACACCATTTAATATAGTAAAAGTTCGTTCAATCGCTACACATGCATTTAACCAATCATTTGATGCTAAAAGTATATTAAGACTTGCATCTATTATAATACAACTAAAGATAAGAAATGATTGATTCGTTATTCTCCCTTGTTGAGATAAAACAAGAATCCAAAATTTAATTTTCAACATAATCAATAAACATAAAGACACGATTGATGAAGCTAATAAATACCAACCGCATCCAACTAATCTCGGTGTTTTCATCATAAATGTAATTATTGATAATGATTCACTAATGGATCCAAATACAAAGAGACATGTAACTATTGCTATACTTCCTTTAACAATAGATGGTTGTCGATGAATAGGTAAATTTGGTTTAATATGATAACCTAAGATTGGATCGAGTGAAAGAATAAAGCCTTTTGTAGATAGTTGACATTTATCACCATAATAACAATCTTCAGATACACACATAGTTTTAGTAGGACATGTGACATTATTTTCGAAACATCGACCATTATTTTCACATAAATTTTGTCGTTGACAATCATATTTTTTTCTATGATCGAATTCAAAACAATTTGAAAAACGATCGCGATCGCATATACATATATAAAGATCATCATATAAACACATCAGTTCTTTGTATTGTCGACAGATCATTGGATAATATTTTACACGATGAAATTGACTATAATTTAGTAATGTTGAATTCATAAGTTTGTCTATTGAATAACATTGTTGATTTGTTCGTATTTGTGTAGTTATATTTTCTGAATTGATGAATTTTTCTCGTACTGTTGCTAAATAATATGATTTATCAGTTAGTTCAATAAGAAGAATATGAAATGGTTGCTCAATATAAAGTCTAATTGTGTATTGATCAAAAGGAATCTTTTTAAATGTAGTGGTTCGTTCATGGTTTTTATCATTGAAGATGGTAATAAAATGAATAAGAACAGATGACGTTGTTCGTATCAGTTTTTCGTCAAATTGAATATTGATATGACTATTACTTATTTCGCATGTTGTTCCTGAATAATGTTCTGGACAGAGACATGTAAGTGTTCGTCGATTAATTCGATCATCATTTGGTATACAGAATCCATTGTTTTTGCATGACGTATTTGATATTTGACAAGTTTCATGTTTTAAATAGCACTGTGAACCAAATTTTCCTATTGGACAGACACAAATCGATGAGGAGAGACAGAAAGAATCATTCGAACAAAAACATATCTCTGTAACATTACAAAATTTTCCCGAATATCCTTCATCACAGCGGCAAAACTCGAGTAATTCATGATTATCATACTTTCTACACTGACCATGATCTCCACATTGTAACGAACATGATTTCATTTGATATGATGATTCAGGAATGAATAATTCAGTTGATATTCGATTTACAGGTAGAAATTGAAATGGAATTGATGGGTACCAACTTGCATGATAAGTTAAATTGATTTTATTAAAAATATCAATGCGTACTGAATAATTTTTGAAGATGTATTTCGGCCGATGTGGATAAAGTAAATAAATATTGAATTTAGTATTACAATCACGAATGGGTACAAATGTGACTTGTTCATGAGTAGATAAAATGTTTTCAGATTCATCCATTAACATAATAATGATTTGGAAAGCAATATTTGTTAATATGGAGCTAGAAAATGATAAACGAAGAGTTAAACTGATACGTTGGTTCTGCCATTGACATCGAGAACCAAAATAATTTGGAGGACATAAACATTTCGACTGATTAGAACGAAAATTAATAACAATTCCTCGATTACAGCCTGAATTTTGTGTGATTTTCACTTCGGGTTTAGTTGTCTGTATTATCCTGTGGATATGTTCAAAAGAATCCATCGCAGATAAAGGTGGGAAAAAGCCAAGACCTGATGAAGAAGCAAATGCAGTCATGACGTTCTTTGGATATCCAGGACGACTTGTACTACATTGGGTTTGACTATTAGTCGATAGGAGATGTATTATAGGAGTTCTAATCCAAAGAGCACGTTGATATAAACAAATTTCATCACCGAAGTTGGATATCAGTGAGTGACGATTACATATCAAATCTTCCGTAATACATCTTGTTTGATTCCAAGAAATATATTCACTCATATTATTATTGGTGTTGTTATTGAAATAGATTTCACGATAAACTATTGTGGAATTTCGTCGACATGTATTGAGATATTTCTCGAAAATATGTTCTGTTGATAGACATAGAGAGCCGGATCTATCCGAAAGTTCACAATAGTGTTTATCCCCTATACAATCTACACCTGGACAGTTAAGTTCATCAACATCATTATGACAATCCCACTGCCCATCACATCGAACATAAGGAGTATTACATGGCCATTTCTCACAATGTATTTCATCATCTTGTTCAATAATATCAGATAATGTTTCTCGTACAGTATTGCATAAATATCCGAAGGGTGGCCGTTGTAAACGAATACGTTCAACAGATACTAATTCATCTTCTGCTCTTCGACAATCACTTACTAAATTGCCAACTGCAACAAATGATAAACATTTACTACGATTTGATACGCATCTAAAACGATTAAAATCATTCAAATGACAAGCTGGATAGTCTTCATCTTCTCCAAAATAACAATCTCGAAAACCATCGACAAGACGATGACGTGAAATACATTTCAACGATCGTGAACAATGAAAAAGATATGATTGTGAACAAGATAATTCAGTACCAATTGTTAAACATCGTCGAATAATATCTTTAAAATGATTTTCCATTCCGTCGAAATTCTGTACATTAGATAGATTAACTAAATTAGAAATATGACAACATGTAAGACCATTATCTAATTCAATGGGAACAATTATCGGTAACAATCCAGGACAACGTTGTGGGTGAAAGCAAACATAATCTGGCATAACATTATTTTCAAACTCTAAATTTGATCGATTAGTTAAGTATATGAATTGAAAAAAGCCGAATAATTGAGGCTGTTGAGGAATACCAATCCATACTGAAGAACAATGAGTTAGTAATGATTCGCAATCATTTATGTTTATATTAATTGGCATTGACCACGGACAAGTATTTGATATATTAGATGAAATACGAATTAAACAACGTAATGCTTGTTGGCAATGAATCTCATCATAGCTTGAATCAAGTAGAATACTTGTCGCTTTTAAATGACGACCATTGAAACATTCACTGTCGAACGAATTAATCATGTCAAAAGAAACACACTGACCATCACCACATGATAAAGAATGTGGATATCGGCAAGCACGCTCTTCACATACAAATGTTGGAATACTATTGCAACTAAATCTCATTTTTATTTCGCTGTATGATATTCCTCCATCAATTTCATCACTTCCATCTAAACAGTCGATATTAGCTCTTCCATCATCCAAAAATATCAATGGAATACATTGGCCACCATAATGACATCTATATTCACCATGTTTACATTCATTTATTTCCAATTGTTCACAAAATTCTTCATCTTCTCCATGAATACAATCAAATTTTCCATCGCAAATTTCACGCCAATCAAGACAAACAGATGATGAAACACGAGAACAATTTGATACAAACGGATAACATGTAATAATCTCCGTATTTGAACATTGTTCAAATCGATTAGTAAATGTAGTATTAATAATATCTTCAAATAGAATCTTAGTTGTGTCATAATTAAATTTATATTGACACATTGAACCAAACCATGGCGATGAACAGTTATAAAAATAATCATGTGTACTTTCATTATACTTTTCGTATCGTTCTGCAACATCGATAGGAGCCATCCATGTAAGTAATTGTGTACTTGTCACACCTTGTTTTTTCAATTCATCGAAATGGATTCTTCGATGGCCGTTGCTGTCAAAACTATCCATTTCTTCTTGGATTTCATCGGTATCGGGTCGTCGGCAATATGGAACTAAGTGATAGATATGAATCATTGGTTCAGTTACTTCTTTGAGATTGTCATAGAGAGAAGCATAGATACAATCGAAAGCAGAATTCGAAATCTGTCTATCATTAGAATAATATAATGTAAATCGAGCACGAAGCGTAGTATATGATGCAAATAGTAAGAGAATTTGTATGAGCATCATGATGAATGACATTTATGATTATGACACTGTTTTTTTTTCTTCATTTTATGCAACATATGAATATCCGAATTAAGATAAGAGAGAGAGAGAAAGTTTCTGTTGACTTCCTTTGTGATATAAATATCGTAACAGATGAATAACTAAGAATTTTTCTTCTTTGATAATGTATTCCTATGTATGTTGTGATTAATTCAAAAATGAACAGATTTTTCTCATTAGAGATACTCGGGAAAAAATCAGTTGTCGTGATTTACGATTCCTGATTGTGATGATGACCAGAATCTACTTCACATATTGAACATTGAATTGCCTTTTCAAAATATTCATTAGCACGATGGTCCATTTTCATTTCGACTACTTTGCCCTAATTTTCAAAATGACGAGCCAAATATGTTCGTTGATTTTTCTCACCTTCAATAATCCATAACTTTAGATGATCGTATACTATTCGTTCAAATGGATTTTCCAATCAGATTTAGTTAAGAATTATGTGGCATAAACATCTTTCATATACAATTAAAAATATTTTTTCTAAACATAGTATCTCCTAACAACGCGCAAATTTCAGCGTTTGCAGCAGAGACCGACGGTATTGCAAAAAATTCAGACCGCGTACCGTATCGTATTTTAACAATAAGATTTTTTGGATTATTTTCTTCAAAACGAAAAACAAGAACATTTCGACACGCTAAATCAGCATGAACAATACCGTTAAATGCTAAAAACATCATTCCATCAATAATCCGTAAAAAAATCTCATAAGTATCTTTTCATTCGGTGCTTTTTTGTGTTCTTGTAATAACATAACTGCATTATTTTCATTATCATCATCATCATCATCGTCATCATGTTGTTCGTGTATAAATCCATATGCTTCTAACAATATGTAGATGACGACTAAGATCAACATAAAATGATGCTTCTTTCTTAACACGAGCTCCATCAATTTTTAAAAGAATTATTTCTGGACGATTATGATTTGTAGGTAACCGATCAGCATAAAAAATTGCTTTTCCAAATGTTTGAAATAATGGTCGACCTGCTTTCTCTTTAGCATCAATATTGAGAGTATATTGGTAATTTTTATTTTTGATTGATTTCTCAAAATGATCAACTAGTTTTTTTTATAGTATAATTCGGATATAAATGTTCCAATGACAATGTTTGATCAGTTAATGGACTTCTACCAGTTTATTAATGTATTCTGTAATAGCTTCTCTTTCATATGTGTGACCATCTTGAATTACAACTGGATCACGAAATAGCTGAAGAGTTATAGGACATAATAATGAATCGTATAGTGTACTCATTTTCTTTAAAAAAAAGGCAGGTTCATGAGCAATCCAATCGTTGTTTTTTCGTCCGATGTCGCACATAAGCATTGTACAATTTTTTTGACAAACTCAATTTGTTACAAAGGCAAAATCGAAAAAGAATATTTTTGAGTTAATATATTATGATCTCACTAGTTTCAGAAAATTAAAGCAGTTAGAAACAAAACATATTTTCTAGGAGATAGGATACTCTCATCCCTATCATCGTATTTATTTATTTTTACAAATAAGTTTATGTTTATATAATTTCCAATCTGAAGTTTGACATTCTTTCGAACAATAACGAGCTTGTCTGCATTGTCCACAAAATTTTAATGCATTTGCTTCACAACAATATCGGCACATGTTTAATATCCATTCAGATTTACTTTGCATTACAATCGATGAAATATCATCAACACGAATCGATGGTTTCATATCAAGTTTTCCTATTCGTAAATATGGATTGATAACATGAATTTTTTTCCCAATCGTGTACAATTTACTGGTTAATTGTTCACCTTCTTCGTCTGAAATTTCATAAATAAGCATTCGTTGACAATCAAAATTTTCATCTTCGATAACTAAATGAATCGACGGATTCCACGATAATGCCTCTTCAATAATCGTTACAGAAAGTACGTATCCAGTATAAACATGATCTTTTCTTGGATTCATTTCTCGTAATGTAATTGACTTCAAACCAATTAACGATTTGTCTGTGTGTTGTTGAACTCGAGGTTTAACAGTAGTCGAAAAACTCTTATAAGCTGAATTCTGTTTTTCATCTAATGTTGTTTTCTCCCACATACGATGTTTTAGAATGAGTTTTACTCTCTCAGGATCAGTGAGATGTTGTGTACGATTCTTTATGGGAGTTGGTTTTACATTGGACTCGGGTTCCGTCATATCAATAAATGGTTGTATAAATGGCAGATGCTCTGATTTATAAGGCAGAAAACATGGTAATTGCAGTCTTTCTGCCTCTTTACCTTCTTTGTATTGTTTGTGAATCCACTGCATCATAACCTCGGGTGTATGAGAATCTGTCATATAACAGATAGCCATTTCATAATACGCTTCAGGAATTTTTCGATGGTCTTTTGGAGCAATTGTGATAAATTGTTGATAAGCTTTGATTGCTTCATTCATATCTTTGCGTATATGACGCAATAGAACAGCTTTATGATACAGGAGTTCATAATTGCTAGGCTCTATTTCAAGTCCACTATTTATGTTAAATAGGCCCGCGTCAGGCTGGCGTTTGAATCCATGCACTGTACCACTTAAAAGGAAGAAATGGACTGATCTTGGATATTTTTGTTTGCATGTTTCAAGAAATTGTTCAATTAAGTCATATGAATTCAAATTCAATGTTGCATAACATACTCGGACGTCTTCATCGAGCTGTGAAACTGAAGAAGTCGATTCTTGAGTACATCGACGTAATACTCGATCAATGATGTTGCTGACTTTTTTATGCATATTACCTGGAATCTGAGCTACAATAGTTTCGATACGATAACATTGTGAAAGTTCGTGAACAAAAACGTTTTCTTGTTCTTCTGCAAAAGTTTCAAAAGACAAGAGTAAATTTAACGCTGGTGCATAATGTTCTAACGCAGTACAAAGATTTTTAGCTGTTATTGAACCGAGATTGGCATGTTCACATAACATATTATAATCTCTCAAATAGTGGTGTTCAGATGCTACTGATGCAGAAATTTTACTTTGAGATAACAAACAGTAATTCGTTGCTTTACTTATTGCTTCTTGAATATCAGGTGAACATTGCTGGCGGTTTTCCAGCATTTTCATAAATTTAGCACGATCTCGTTGAGCAATAATATTCCCTGATTCGCATGCACGATCGTACCAAATTCTTGCCATTTGAAAGTCATTTTTACCTAATAGAATCTCTGCTAAAGTCATCATAGCAACTGCATTACCTCGTTTTGCTCCTAATTCATGCAACTCTTCAGCTTTTTGGAGATCCTTACTAACTCCGATACCATCTAAATACATACAACCTAAATTATTGGCAGCCATTGCACTACCATGATCAACAGCACGTTGATACCAATAGACAGCCAATGAAAAATCTTTACAAACACTGATACCTTCATAATATCTTACTCCTAAAGCATGCTCAGCTTCAGCTACACAACCATTTGACATTCCTGTTATGATTGGATGTTGTGTTGGTTGTGCCGCTGCTTTTTCAAGCCATTGACGAGCCAAATTATGATCTTTTTTTATACCGAGACCTTTATCCAATAAACGAGCTAAATTATACATTCCTTCAGCATTGCCCGCATTTGCTGCTTTGGCAAAATATTTTGCAGCTTGTTCATAATCTTGTATAACATCAATATCTCCAAGTGAAAATTTATGTCCTTTTAATACATCAGCTTCTGATGGATCCAATAACGCGCGTAAGTTGTCAAACTGTCTCCTCTGTTCTGGATCTATACCGTACTTCTCTTTTAGTTCATTTAAACGTTCATGAATTGGTTTCCAATCCGCTTGTAGATCAGTATATTCTTGTCGTGAGTTTCGATGAACAATTATACGACTTTCAGCTAATGGTTGTTGTATCTCATTTCTTGACGGATCGAGTGCCAATGCTCGTTCAAATGAATTGATTGCTTTTTCATGATCTTCTAAAACAGCATATATTAGTCCAACACGAAAATGCGCTTTCCACCAAGTATACCAAAGTTTTCTTGCTTGTTTGGCATCTTTTAAAGCACGATCTAATTCTTTCTCTATTTTATTATCATCATCAGAGCTATCAGTCGAGTAGAATCGCTGCTTATAAAATGCTAATCGACTTGCAGCCATATTCGAAAAGAAAGCAGCCCGATCATGATCTGAAACACCTGGTAAGACTGTTGCCTTGATAAAGAGTGCGATTGCTTCAGAATAATTTTCGTCTTTATGAGCTTTTGTTCCCAAGGAATTGAAATATTTTGCTTCGTTTGTATTTTCTTCATTTATTATTTGTCTGGGTAAATCAAATATACTATCCTCTTTTAATTTATCTAATTCTGTTTCATTTTCACCAAATGTAACTAAAATTGTTGATATATCATTCCATAATTGATTAAATTCCGTATGATCAACTGATTTTGATGAATGATGAACTAATTTATTTCGTGTATCTCTTAATTGTGTTACAAGTTTATCTTCTTGATCAAGTTGCTGTATATCATTTGAATTCAATGTTTGTGGACGTCTACTAAACAATAAAATAGAACATAAAGTTGATATATCCCATTCACTGGTGTTTCCATTCGCAACCGATGTCTTTTGTGCAGGTGTTATATTTATATTCTTATTTTTTGTAATAACATTTGTTAAATAATTGTTTCCACATGTTGGTGAATCTATCCATGTTTGACCGTTGTTGAATAATGAATAGCGAGTTTTAAACAAATTACGAAGTGGATTATATGAACGTGAAATCAATAATTCTAGTTTGAAATAATTACGAACTTCAAGTGTAATATTGGCCATAGATGAGTTGGTGAGTAAGGTTAAAACAATTCGAACGACGTCTACATATCACATATTTTTGTCTTTTCTTATCTAAACGATTCTGTCGGATACCTTAGAAACCACAGAATAGAGAAGAAAAGAATAAATTATGCTTGCTTTCGCCTTTTCTTTCTTTTTCTTTTTTACACTGAAGTCTCTAAGCATGTTGGAAAAACAGAAAAGAAAGAAACAAAGATTATGTCGTTATGTTACATATAAAAGCAACGAAGGTAAACACTTGCTATTTGATTTCACATGACTACTCGTGATTATTCACAAAAAAGGATTCTATCAAATGAATCTTTATCAGGATCACATTCAGTAAAAAAAACACGTAATGAAGTGAAATCTGTTTTTGGACAATTGAATATTTCATTTCAATATTCCATTATTTGGTACAATGAGCAACAGAAGAATCCTTTAGAATATTACAACATAAATACGAAATTTCGTCGTGGTATTATTGATTATTTAGAATGTTTTGTTAATATAAACGAATACAAGAATTATATTGCATCGTTAACGAATGATCGACCACATATTATTATAATTATTTCAATTTTTACTTCCACAGAACTAATCGATATATTTAATTGTTTAAAATCCAATGATTTAATCTATATTCATCAAGGAGAATTCAATTCAGATGTAACCCCGTCACTTGCTCAATCTCAGATTAGGGGTACCTATGATGATTTAACACAGTTATTTTCAGACGTTTCCAAAGAAGCATCTATAATGAATCGTGAAAATTTCATATGTAAAACAAATATAAGTTCAAATTCTTCGTGTATTGTCAATGACCGTACTACATGTTTTGAAGCAGGTTCAAATAATGATTATTTCGTTAATTTTCTTGATATGTTAATGGAAACTGAAGCAAGTCCAAGTGGAAAACAAGTGTTTGTAGAAGAATGTCGTCGTTTGTTTGAAAATCAACAATCAATACTTCGTATAGTTGATGAATTTGATCGAACTTATGTATCTGATCGAGCTGTATATTGGTATACACGTAATGGATTTCTATATACATTGGTTAATCAAACGTTGCGTCAGCAGAATATTGAAGCATTATTATTTTTACATTTCTTTATTCGAGATTTAGATCGACAGTTACTTTCTGAAATTCAAGAACCTGAAGATTATGATTGGAAGAAACTAAGTGATCTTTATCGCGGTCAACGCATGTCGACAGTTGAAATTGAAAGTTTGAAATTAAGTTACCAACAAGGTGTGTTTCAGAGTTTTGTTTCTACAACAATAAATATCGAAGTAGCACGTATGTTTTCTGGAGGACGTGCCATAGCAAAAGATGATCCTGTACAACCCGTTCTTTTCTATTTTGATTGTTCTCAATTGAAACTTTCGCGAGGTGTTGCTAATATTCAACATCTCAGTGATAATGATGCAGAAGAAGAAGTTCTGTTTTCTCCTTTATATAGTTTTTCAGTTCGAGATGTCGACTATGATGAAGACGAACATGTTTGGAAGGTTCAATGCTCTATGAATGGTGATGAAACAAATCTACCATTATTATTGCATCAACGTTTAATTAAACTTGATATTGCAGTTCGAATTTTAATATCTACTACTGCTTCTTTTAATAGTGATTCAAATGAAGAAATATGTCAACTATTTACTAATGGTATGATGACTCTGCTTGATGAACTTGTCATTCCTGAAGGAAATATAGTAACGTTAGATGAAAATGCTCAGGTGCAAAAGAATACAAAACATGCAGTTACTGCATTATTTCTTCTAAAAGGACTTAAATCTTTCAATACAAACTCACTCGCTCACAAACCAGCTATTTCCAATGATACATTTGCTGCACTTTGGGATTGTTTAGCAACGATGTATAAAGAAAGAGGGGAATTTCAACGTGCTCTAGATTATTTTGAAAAAGCACAAACTTATTCTATTGAAAACATGCCAATCGTTATCGCACGAAAGGTAAGTCAATGCTTAAACCATATAGACGTTGAACAAAATATGTACTCCTATAGATAAATATAGCTCAAGTGAATAGAATGATAGGTCAATACGCACGAACTTGGTCTATCTATCAAGAATTATTAGATGAATGCATTCAAAGTCCAGACAAAGATAACTTCAATATTTTCTCTCAGATTGCTACAGATATACCTGATGTTGAGTCAGAACATGCAATGGAAATTTGGTATCCAAATATATTCAATTATCTAGAATATGTTTATACTCAATGTCAAGAAAAAGCTGAAAGCAAACCATTATTTAACGATGAACTTAGAATAAGATATCGAGCTCTTGGACACGCTTATTGGTATCTTGTTCATAATGAAGAACAAACTCTTGTTTGTTATAATCGTTGGAAAGAACTTCTTGATGAAAAGAATGAATCCTTAGGTGAATTCTTCATGTATTTAGCTCATGTATATTATAATGGCAATCCAATACGAGCAAAAAGTCTATACGAACAAGCTATTGTCGAGTTATCGATTGCTGAAGAAGCATGGCCTATGGAACTTGCTATTTGCTATAGTCGATTAGGTTGTTTACAGAAAACAAAACGATTTTTTATTCGACGCTTCTACCTACTGATCTACGTTATAGATCTTAGTATTTTACAGCGAAAATATTTAGAAGAAGCAGGTGAATGTTATCTATATTTAGCAAAGAGTTATGATGAACAAAATCTAATAATTGATAAAACAACAGCTGAACAATATTGTCAACAGGCATTACGTTTATTTTTGAATGTCAAACCTCCTACTTCTAATTTTCGAGAAATGAAAGAATGTATAACACATCTTATCACTCTTCAAGAAAACCATACTGAAAATAATTTCTTACAAAAAATATATGATGAACCACCAGTGAATGAACAACAACTGAAACAAATGCTGGAACAAACTTTGCGAACTCTAAATGGTCAAAAATTTCAATCAGAATTGATTGATGAGGAAATCGGGGATGAAAACTCTGACTAGATTGATGTGAGTGCGTAAGAACAGTGAACAATATCGGCTTTCCTTCTGTAAAGTTGTTTTCATTCATGCTATTGTGATTGTGAAATGTAATTATTATTGAATAAATGTGAAAAGACAAGCGACTGCTCACTAAACCTTTTTTTTACATATTACAGTTTTTATTTCAGAGCGGTTCATCGATGATTAATCGAGTTACTGACACGTACATCCATTCATTTCTCTTCAATTTGATCTTCTGATATTAAATAACCGATAATATTTTTTGAAGATATTTTTCATTTCATCTCGATAAATCTTTGCTGGTAATACGAAAATAAAAAAAGTAGCCATAAATGGAAAAAATGACAAGCAATAAGCCAGTAAATAGAGAAACTTTTGCCATGGAGAATGAATACAAGCTAATGTAAATGAAAATATCAATCGAATCATACTAAAAATAATTAATGAAAATGGACTACCATAAAAAGGAAGTTGTTTTTGTAAAACTTTCCAGTAATTATTACTTTTATTTTTAGGGATAAGACTTTGCTTCAATTGTGTTGATTTATGTAATAAAAATATAGTCATTATTGATTGAATAAAACATGGAATGATCAAATTTATGAAATTTATAGTTAATCGATAATATTTTAACCAAGACCCTTGAAATATTACAATACACCAGGTATGAAGATTAGTTGATCGAGGATCTTCAATAAGTTGATAACTAAATAATTCATGCCATGAACTAATCACAAGTAACGCGGCGTAGTAGCCGCTAAACCCTCTACTGACAGGATAATATTATAATTAGAGCGCTACTATTCGTCCAAAGAGAGAAAAAAGTTATTTCAGTTGAACGATCTGATCATTTGATAATTTGTCAGAATATTTTACGTAGACTAATTTCGCTTCCTGAAATCTTCTGAAATTATAACGCCTAGTCGCTCGTCGGCCTCCCCCCGGCCGGCCACTCGCGGCTAGTCGTGACATGTACATTTTCACTCTTCCATTTAGTCTAGAGCCACTTTTGAAACTAATCCGTTCATTCCCTTCTAATCCTTCTTTGAAGTCACCCTCTTTGCGCTACTCTGACTGTCGAAGACAACACTTGACAAGCGAAACACTATTTGGAACGACTGGCATCAGATGATAGTCATATAGTATAGCTGTTTATAAAAATGTGTGATCTCATTAATATGCTGATGACTATGGAGACCTAGCGATCGGACGTCAGTCAGCTATTACATTTTTTGTTCTACATATTGCCGCTTAAAACATTATCGTCGAAAAAATTGATTCTTTGTCGTAAAAAACGGGTCAGAAAGTGTTCATTAAAAAACGAACCTCGGATTCGAGTTCCTCGACCTCGATTACCCTTCGGTCAATCCTTACTCGCCAACAAAAAAATTTCATTACTTAATTAGTTAATTAGCTAATGAGGTAATTGGAATTTTGAGAAACTAACCTCGGATTCGTGATCCTCGACCTCGATTACCCTTCGGTCAACCCTTACTACTATGAGCTAGTATTAGGTAATATTGGAAGAAAAATGAACGAACGAACGAACATCAACTCGTTTTTTCGGTGATATCAGCTCGACGCACTACCCCCCTTTCAGTAGAGGGAACAAATTTTTTCCTTCTACTTTTTCCTTTCGAATATCGTATAAAGCTCCAACTGAACCATGTCAATCAGTTATTTGTCGTTCAATTTCACCGGATGAATTCATATGAGTAGAATTGTTTTGTTATCTAAAGGATCTATACACAAAAAACGTACGAGTACTTTGTGGTGTTTTCTATTGCAGAATGATCTACCAAATAAGTGTACGTGTCGATATTTCGGCACGTCATACTAAATATATCATTAACTGTTCACAGTTGACTGAAGAACGAAATTGGACGATGATAAATAAAGAATTCTGAAAAAGGAATAAATCGTAGTTTTGAAATATGTTACACTATCTTACTTATAGGTTTAGATCGAAATAAAATATATACGAATTGTAAAGTGTGTGTTCTCATTCGATGATTGTAATTATATTCATAGTAAAAAAAGCTGTCACAATGTTTTCTCGCCATCTTTTACGACAGAAGACAAGAAACTACTCATGACTGTCACTTTTGTTCTTTGTGAAAACAGTAACGAAAATGGTTTGAACCATGTATACGTGACTTTACAATCATATGTAAATACGGTTGATAAGATTTGAGATTTTCAACACAGGTTGGATGGGTAACCAGACAAATAGGTAGTGAGTATCAAGTGTCCGATCAGCCAACTATCTATGTAGATTCCTTTTCAATTTATTAAAAACCATTGACATTTTTCTTCGTCTTATAACTGCATAGAAACGCGTTACAGTGATTTTCTTACGGACAATTCTTCAAATTTCGACAGCGCGGCGACTTATGAGAATTAAGCCACGTGATATCACAAGGTGAAGTTCAGATATGCATGAATCGTTATATATAGAAAACCGAGCATAATAAAAGTTGACTGCAATCAATTATCAGTATTGTAATATATCGAAATATCTTCTCGAAAGTTTGTACATAAGAAAAACGAAAGTCATTTGATAGCTAATAGTATATCTCCTTTAAGAGACGTCTACACATAGAACATGTATGATTGTGATACTGAAAAGGTTTCTCGTTTTATTCGTTGAAGGTATAGAAAAGTAATATGTCAATAGAAAAGGATTTAATCGAAACGACTCGAATAAAAAAAGGAAGAAATTAAATGATCTATATCACACAAGATATTTTCTTCAATACTGAGACAATCAATGATTTGGTTTGTAATAATTTCAATATTGATTTTCATCTCGCAAGTTTTTACCCTAGTTTCTATTGGTATTAATATGGGGGCATTACGTGACTGGAGTCGTAGTCTTCAATATGTAAATTTAATAAAACAATCACGCCAGTGGGGTAGTCCGTCTACACCTTGGGATGGGAATGCTACATTGAATACAATAACTGGATGGCCAATGAATGACTTTGGTGTAATTATTGCTACAAATAATCTTGATATGGGTGGAAAGTATTTCTTCTATGCGAAAGGGAATGCAAGTATTTCAACAATTGATAGTCTATCAATTTATGTAACTGATCAAGCGTATGATAAATTAACGAATACTTTAACAGCTTTCATTAACGTTCCACAAGGTCAAACGGGAATCATATTGAGTTTCCTAAATACAACAGGTCCTGGTTTACAAGATATGCTTTTATTACAATCAAATTATACTGTAACATCAAAAATAAATCTAACAAATTTAATGTTAATACATTTATCACGTTTTAATTTAATTCGTTTCATGGCATGGACGGATACAAATAATAATCCTGAAAGGCATTGGAATGAAACAACAGTATTATCTTGGCCACAATATACTCCACCTCGACGTAATCCTTGGCAAACAATTCCATCCATAGTAAATCAATTTAATAAATCGATTGATATATGGATTAATATTCCATTCAATTCTTCGGATGATTATATTCTCAATCTTGCAAAGTTAATGTTACATGAATTGAATAATAAAACTATAATTTATGTCGAATATTCAAATGAATTGTGGAATAGAGGATTTTCTCAAGCTGCAGATAATGTTTATGCTGCAAATGATTCTGTTCATAATCATGGTGATCCATTACATTTAAATTATGATAATGTCAAAGATGTACATGCATGGGCATTTCGGCGAACAGCATATCAAATTAAACGAATATCAGATTTATTTAAAAACATATTTGGCTATGAAAACGTCGGTCTATGGAAACGTGTTCGACCAATTTTAGCTGGTCAAACTGATAAACCACATGTTATTATGACTGGTTTAGATTATTTAAATACTCAATATGGCTCACCATCAATATTTCTCCATGGTGTTGCGGTAGCTCCTTATATGACATTAGGAAAGTATCGAACTTGGTCAAATCTAACAACTGATCAAGTACTTGATATACTCAATTCAAGTATGCAACGATTTTTACCAGAACAAGGTTGGAGTCAACAAGCACCTCTTGGTGTTCATGGAATTTATGCTGCTTGGTACAATTTAGCTATGTATGCGTATGAAGGAGGAACTGACACATCTTCCGGATGCCAAGATTGTTCATTCGAAGCGAAAATAAACGCTACTCGACATCCACGAATGATTGATATATGTAAAACATATTTAAATGGTTGGTATCGATTTGGATTTGAAATATTTAATTGGTATGTAGCTGGTGCAGGTGATATTGAATTGTCGGGAACATGGAATTTACTTGAAGATATGAGACAAGAAACATTAATTGATACAACAAATATGTTTAATTCAACATCGCCTGTTGCTCAATTACCACGACCAGCGCCAAAGTTAAATGCGATTGATCAAATTCGACACAGTTCGGTTGAAATAAGTTTTGGAATTGCTATTCCGTCAATGAATTTTAATGCAACAAATTTTATGAATCATCAAGTGCCATATCCTGATGCTGATTTAAGAAGTTTAAAGCTCAATTCAACATTTCATTATCCTTTGCGAATTCATCAACCATTAATACGTTTGAATTTAACTGTTTATGTTGCAGGGAATTCAGGAATATTGGAAGCTTCGATTAATAATCAACAATTTATTCAAATTCAAACACCGAAAACAGTTAATACAACTGTATTTCAAGCAACACCTCTTATACAATTCAATTTCAATCAAACAAATGTACCATCACTTGTAGTACTTCGTCTAAAAATTATCGAGAATGGTTATTCAGTTCGTAGCTTTGATATTTTTTGATCATAAATTATGTTAAAAAAAAGTACATCCGATCACTGAAACGTTCGTAAAGTCGTACCTTATATAAAATAAAAGAGAATAGTTTTCTGAAAGAAATTGCTTGAAATGTACGTTTCAACAAGAAGTGTTATTAATCGTAAACCGTTGAACACGACTGTTTCCGTACTCAGAAACATATAAATCTCCGTTCTTATCAAACTGAATTCCAGAAGGACCGTATAATTGCATAGCTGTGTTTCCTGCACTTCCGGATACACCTGCTACTAATGTTCCATTGCTCGCACCTTTCAACCATTTCATTATCCTATGATTACCATAATCAGCGACAAAGACTGTTCCAAATGAGTCAACAAAAACTCCTTGTGGATACGTCAATTGTGTGTACAATAATCCAGCACCATTTCCTCCTGCAACAACTGTTCCATTTGTAGCATTTGCAAGCCATTTCATCACACGATGATTGTTGTAATCTGAAACATATAATGTATCGTTATCAGATTCATCAATATAGATATTCCAAGGTGTATTTAGTTGATTGAGAGCTGAACCTGCAATACCGGTTCCAGCTACGATAACACCTTGTGTCGATAAATTTGAGCTAGGAGGAAATTTAAGTACACGATCATTTATCCAGTCAGCAGCATAAATATTATCATATCCTATTTATAATAAAACAAATTCGATTCAATTTTAATTATAAAATAAATAGATATTATAAATACTGACGATCAATATATAATCCATCACACCAGTCGATTTGATTCAAAGCATTACCACAACCTGAGCCGATAACAACTGTGATATTTCCTGATGCTATATTTAATTTTAAAATACGACAGTTGAATGTATCTGATAGATACAAATTAGATTCAGTCGAGTCAAAACATAGAGTTGTAGCTGTATTCAGATGTTGTGTATCTGCAGACGAACCTGCACCAAGTTTCGGACCAATTACTGTTCCATTTGTACTGTTCGGAGGCCATTTCATGAAACGATAATTCCAGTAATCTGCCACATACACGTTAAGTGCTGAATCAACTCGAACATCATATGCTCCGTTTAATAACGATGCCGATGAACCAGCGTTGCCATTAGATGATCCGGCAACTGTAGTTCCATTTGGATGCCAGACAGCTGATGGACATGTGACTGGTCGTGTAGTAGTTGTTGTTGTTGCCGTTGTGGTCGTAACTGAAGTTGTCGTTGTTGTTGTTGTCGTCGTCGTGGCTGAAGTTGTTGTTGTTGTTGTCACTGTTGTCTGTGAAGTTGTCGTTACAGCTGAAATTTTTATCCCGAAAAGAACTCAAATTCGTTGACATGGAGTTATATGCTTTAACGAAGTCTCACTTGTTTTCGTTGTTGCATCTTTCGAAGTCATTACGACAGCAACAACAATTCCAGCAATAAGTGCAGCAGTAAGAAGAGCAATGAGTGCAATTGTACATACAAGCCCTCTTGAAAGCTTGGGACAAAACCGTCTTGAATAGTAACAGAAGGAAATTTCCAAGTGATATATACTTGAAGTTAATTGGCTCACTTTTTCTTTGTACCAATGGTTTTGATATCATTTAAAAGTCCGTAAGATTTGTCTCTCGAATTTCTTTTGTTCGATCGAGTCTTTTTTGTGTCAGATTTATTTCAAAAAAATTTAGAAGGCATAAAATATAAGAATATCTTACCGATATCGTATTGAAATTTCCAAACTCAAATGCCGAATTCATGTTGATATTCTTAAGAAAAAAAACGTTACATTTCAGATGAAGCTTTAATAATCAAATACCCGATTGTCATGCACTCTAGTTGATCGAAAAATTTGAGGTCTTGCTGAAGACACGATGTCAGCTGTTGAGTTTGATTGAAAATCATCAGTATTCCAAGAATTCTGATAGAATATTTGTCGCAATGAAAAACATAGTTTTAAGTACGTACTGCTGATCCAGGTTGATGATGATGAATCGTTTCAGTATTACCAGCAGCTTGTGAATGGGCGGCAGTTCGACTGAGTGAGAACTATGAAAAGAAAAAGAAAAACAGATATAAAAAAGAGTCAACATTCAATCATTTAAAACCGAAAGCAAATCAGTCATAGTATCGGCACATGGAAGTTTTTTCGGAGATCGAATTCTTGTATGAATAACACCGTTAATTTTTGTACCACGTGTTGATATTGTTTTGTTTGTAAGTTTTTCATTATTAAGACGAGAAGATTTTACAACGCGTACTATTGATGATCCATAACGTGAAACGTCATGTGCGCCTGTAAGATGGGATGAACTGGAGAATTTTTGGTTACCTTGGTTCATATCTACTGAATTTTCATACGGATTTATTTTTTTCCTATTCTATATTTGTACATAGGTACACAGTGTAGCTGCGATGCTGAATTAACGAGAAATTATTCTTAATCAGTTATTTATTAACTGTCAAACAACTGTAATTTGCATTTTATAATCAAATGGCAAAACAATGAAGTCTTTGCAGTGACCTTATCATACATAATGGCTTTTCTGTGTTTCTTTTCGAACGTGCATATAAAATTAGCAAATAATAATCATAATACTTGTACTTTTTTCGAACTTTTTAAATACAGTGCTACACAAATATGTCGCATGTGTGTTCTATTCATCCATTGCAATAATCACATTAATAAATCGTGGCTCGGCAAAAAAAATCATTTCATAAACGTTCATTTGTATAGAGCGATGTTGAATCCTTTTTACATTCGAAATCTGTTATCTCTGTAACAATGATATTAAGCAAGCTGGATCATATTTCGTACTTTTGTTCGGATAAATCAACCATAAAATTGAATCACTCACCTATATTGTCAATCAAAGAAAGAAGAACAAAATAATAGCCTCATTTTCAAGGTTCGAAAGAGAGAGAGAGAAGCGAAACTAAAACGTCAAATTACCTTCATAACCCATGTAACCATTTTTTGGGTCCAAACGCGTTTCGACTGCGTCCAAATCGCGTCTAAATCACAGTAATCGAGCGCGTCTAGATGCGTTTGACCAAATTTTAAAATTTGAAAAATATATCATATCCGTCTCAGCTTTGATCAGATAAGTACATTCCCTAGTTCGCCAATCGACAAGAATACTTTTTTCAAGATGAATCGATATTAGTTTGAATCAGACAGAAAAATAATGCGTTTTTAGTGTATCTCATAATGATAAAATCTTGAAAAGATCGAATACAGCCTTGAGGGAAAATTAACAAACAAAGTCCATCATAGTTGCGTTGGTTTTGCCCTTATATGACATTAATGATATTACCTATTAGCAAAAAAATTAAGGACTATTGTAGAAAGAAGGTTACTTCCCAATGTATATTACTTTTGATTTGATTTAATAGCAAAACATGTTTTTACCTTCGGGAGCATGATGCGCATCGGATAAATATATGATTCGAAACAGCGCAGTAGACATCGATCTATCGTCAACAGTATTTCTGCGTTTATCGGTTGAATGTTGTTTGAAATATATTCAAATTTTAGATTCTTAGCAAACAAATTTCCATTTCAAAGGACATGGTTGACAATTCAGTGAAAAGAAACTCTGCGGAAGATCGATTGGGATCAGCTGTTTTCTCCGCGAAAGACAACGACAGTATGCACAAATCATTAAATGGTGAGTTTATTCTCTATCGATTACTGATAGAGCAGATTCTGAAAGGCAGTCTGGACAATAAACAATCATTGCTGAAGTATTTTCACCCAGATGAAAAAAAGGATAAAAGTTTATTAAAAGAATTCGATAAAACTTATCAGCCAAGTCAAGCGATATTTTGGTACACAAAGGAATCGCCTGTATACAAAAATCTCAACAAAGCGCTGCGAACGCAAAATACCGATGACGTTACACCATTCGCATCATTTATCAAGGATTTGAACGTTCAACTTGGCGAAGAACATCAATTATTTGTGAGAAAACAACAGGAAAAAAGTGCACAATTTCAAGTTTATCGTGGTCAGTTCATCAGTAAAGATGAAATAACACGTTTGCAAGCAAGTCCAGGAGATCTTATCTCAATGAATTCATTCTTGTCTACAAGCACAAATCGAAAGAAAGCATTTGAATTTGCCACAAGTCGTCCTCCACCTACAGACGACCTAACATCGGTTTTATTGCAAATGAATATTGATATTTTCACCCAGTCGAAGCCTTTCGCTGACATTCGACGTTTAAGTGCGTTTCCAGAAGAAGAGGAAATACTATTTGCTGTTGGTAGTGTTTTTCGGATCGAAAAGGTTTCTTTTGATGAGGAGCATCAACTTTGGATGGCAGAGTTTACTCTATGCGCCGAGAACAATGCCGAAACGGAAAAAGTTTCGAAGACTTTAGAAAAGGAATTGGAAGGGAATAATCATCTCGTTGCAATGGGAACTTATTTCATCCATATGCAAAAGTATGATCAAGCTCAAGGGTATCTCGAAACCCTTCTGCAAAACAAAAGCATTCAAGATCCACTAGATTTTGCCTACTGTTATCAAATTCTTGGCAAAGTGCAAGAAAAGAAAGGAAACTACGTGAGTTCGATCGAGAATTTCAACAAATCGTTGGACTATTTATTAGGTTGGCCAGAAAGTTTTTGCGTTTTTTCTTAAATTTTCCTAGAATAGTCAAGAAAGCTCTAGAAGTTTCCATATTGTGGGTATATAAAGGGGGTACGAATTTCTGTCGAACAGTAACAAAATCATGGATATGGACGTTGATCAAGAATTAGAATTTAAGATATCTCGTAGAGAGCTCTGAGTGCTTTTGCTTCATGAATTTCGTTTGGGTCACAAAGCAACGGACGCAGCTAGCAACATATGCAGCACGATGGGCAAGGATGTACTCTCCATTCGTACAACGCAACATTGGTTCAATCGGTTCAAGAATGGCAATTTAGAACTCGACGATTTACCTCGCTCCGGAAGGCCAATAGAGGTGGATATGGATGCTTTGAAGCAGCTCATCGAAGAAGATCCTAGACTGACTACACGGTGTTTAGCAGAGCGACTTGGTTGCGTTCATGCTACAGTGGAAACACACCTGAAAGAATTGGGCAAAACGTGGAAATATGGTGTTTGGNATATACTTTACACCTTTTTATATAGGTCTAAAATACTCTCATAGAGGCGGACAGATGCGTAAAGTATGAGAATGAAAAATTTATATTCGAATATTAAGAGAAAACCAATGTTATATTATGGAGTCCGCTTGGACCTCAGGTGGGCGTTTCAGGGTTAATTAAAAAGCTTAAAGGCCTAAAAAAACTCTCAATATATCGAAGCTCAGTATTTAAGATTGCTCTCCAGTATGTACCTTGTGAATGAACGTATTTTTGGATTACTGGCCTTTGGTATGTGGCAGTCAACCGAGTGTGTTTTTACTTTTTCGTAATCAACTCTTCTATATAGCCCTCCTCTCAAGCGCGGATGAAATGTTTTCTTTATTTCTGTCGTATTCTTGCCCCGTCACCCCTCCTCCAGCCAACCTCGAGCCTTAGCGTGTTCCTCCAAAATCATGTTTTACGAAGTTTTGAGCCTTTTTCACGAAAATTTTTTTTTACCTTTGACCCTTGACCCCGACCCTCACCCCCCTCTCCTCAACCAAGATCTAACCTCAACACACCTTCCAAACGATGTTTTATGAAGTTTTGAGCATTTTCAAAAAAATGTTTTTTTGACCTTTGATCTTTGACCCTGACACAAACAAGCAGACAAACAAACTTTTTTTTCATATGACCCTCCTTTCAGTCGAGGGAATAACTATAAGAATTAAAAACACAATTATTCGTTTAGCCCACCAAGTACTTTTCGATTTATTAAACCTTACACCTTGTATAATATTAATACTTCGTTCAATAGCAATACTAGTTGTTAACCAGTCAAATAGATATGAACATACATTGAGAAAATATTCTAATCAAATACATGACCAATATGCAAGTAATCGATGTTCAACATGATAGATTTGTGTATGTAATAAATAGAAATATCGACATAGAAGAACTGATAAACCCAATTGACCAAGCCATGGTAAACAGAAAAGATAAAGGCCACAACCATGTTCTTGTACCTTTGGTTGTTTAAACACAGCAAGTGAAAAGATATTTGATACAGTTCCTAACAATAACATGATTAGCAATACAATAAAAGCAATTTTAGCAATAGTCTATTGATATTGAAAAGGTACAGTTTGAAGAATATCTTGTCCAAGTATTAAATCTAATGATAATGTATATTCTGATGTGGTCAATTGACAAAGTGATCCAAATGTACATGATGGACAAATACAACGAAAATCCCAAATACCATTAAAAGTCAATTGAATACATTTTCCATTATTTTGGCAATGATTCATTGAACATTGAGTTGATTCTTGAAGAAATATACCACATACTAATTGACGATAATGATCACAAAAACATATATAATGTTCATCGATAAAACATCGCATATTTTTGTTTAATAAACATAAATGATGATAATATTTAACTCTTCGAATTAATGGAAATTCTCGAATAGTTTGATTTTCAATGATTTGATCAATATGAAAACATTGCTGATCAGATTGAACGTTAACCGTAAGATAATCGTGAGGTTTTTTCATAAAAGTAACAACATAGAATTCGGCTTGGTCACGTTCATTATAAACCTGAACAAGAATTAACAAAGGAGACTTTTTCAAATTATCATAGAACATTAGTAATGAATTGTGTAAATTAGTTTGATCAATTAAATTACGTTTTTGAATTGCAAATACGCCTTTAACAGGAGAATTTAATAGAAGAATATATATAAAGATTGCTGCAGACTGTAGAGAATAACGCAAAACAAAATTTGATGAGAAATATAGATTGATTCGATTTAATTTCGTGCTACAGTCGCTTCCCTCGTATTCTATTGGACAAAGACAAGTATATCGAGGATTTTGTCGTTCATCTACTGGAACACAAGTTCCATTATTTTTACAATTATTATCATTACATGGATCAAACCACCCTTCACGCCGATGACCAAAACGACCCAATGGACAAATACAAATAGATGAGTTAGAACCATCAACGCATTTTCCACCAGCTGCACATGGACAAACATTGGCTATGTCAAATCGAAAACCTGTCCAATGGTCGTGACAGTGACAATAGACATGATGAGGAGAATTTAGATAACGTTTACAGAATCCATGTACACATTTCAATGTACGGCACGACGGAGCATCATCTAATCGTAGATGTAAAACTAATCGATTGACTGGTAAAAAAGAGAAAGGAACATCATAAGACCATGATGCTCTATATTCTGCATATTTTGAATCGACTAGAAAAGCATCAAGACGTACTGACCAATGACCATCTGCTTTCGGTGGTGGACGAGAATAAATCAGATAGAAAGCATGCTTTGTTGAAGTTTTATGTAAAAAATGTTAATAATGAATAATTGTTTCATTTAACATTAAACAAGCGAATAATCGAATTAAACGTTGTTTATTCTAATATCGACTTAAACTGGCTACAATATCCATGTACATGATGATTAAAATACGTTCGGATTGATATTCACATCGTGAACCATAATAAGAAGATGAACATAAACATTCAATCTTGGTCGAGAATCGTTTAGTTACAGCAATACCAAGAATTACAATACCATTCATGTTAGCGGCGGCGCCAGGAATTCTCACTAGGGTGGGCTCAAATAGTCTGAGCCCACCCTAGAGTCTATTTATCGCCGGTTTTCAGGAAAACTCAGGGTGGGCTGAGCCCACCCTAGCCCACCCCTGGCGCCGCCACTATATGTAATCAAATAACCAATGTATAACACTTCTTCTTTCCATTCTATAATTCTTTTTCAATAATAACTTAAGTCTTTTACAATAGTATCATGATCTGTGTGCTGTCAAAGAAGTTCTAGTTTCCGCTTCTGTATTGAAACTCCTATTGAAGTATGAAGAAAAGTTCTTAGAAGAATAAATTATGTCTTTCTCATGAATATTGTATTAATAATTATTGTTAGGTTATACAGTATTAGGAAAATATTTTTAAAAAGACTAATGACAATGCATTTTCTTCAATACACGTAATTAGTTATTCATCACAGAAAAGTGTTCTCCATGGTAAAGATATCGTGCATTTTATATACAATCAAAATCTATGCAGAAAAGTCAATAGACGCAATTGAATTCAACGACTTTCTTCTACGTTGTTTATATTATATACATACGATAGAAATATCAGGAGGAAGAGACAATACTTTAATGGTGACGTTATAAATGAATACCGTTTCATATAATTATGGAATATCTTCTAAAATATTAACTATTTGTTATTTCAATTGCACAACTTATTTTATCCGTTGGCTACATAGATTATGAGATGAGAAATAAAAGCGAGCGTGTAAATGAACTGAAGTTTATTTTAAATTAGATTTGAATTTGAACGTTTTTTACTGTTGAATTAATGCACCTGCACTATCGGATCAATAATTTCACAGTTATACGCGCTTGTACCATAACAAACAATACTTCAAATCGATTTATTTTTAAAGATAAATCTTTAATAAGGCGTGAACTTACTATTGGCAACGATTTCATATATTTGCTCATCTGCATAAAAATAATTATTTTCAAACTGTTTTTTCCCTAAACAACTGTATTTTACTGCAAATTTGTTCATTTTCGAGAGGTTTTCTTTGTGAAAAGGACCGAAAAAAGCGTTCAGTGTTCACTGTGGGAGGTTTCACTGTATGTTAATTTTATTACTACAAAATCTCGAACACTGATATCATTAGAACTATAATTTACTTTTAGATGAAGATCTTGAGTTTTAAAAACTCCAATATCCTTCTTAATTTTTATTGAAAATACTTTGTTTTAGACCAATCTCATCTGATCCACCCTCCTATATATCTAAAAATCCGTAAACCGATAGTAGATGATATAGAGTTCACTTAACAAACGCATACATGCTATCATATTACTTCGCCTTGGTTCCTAATATAAGTTTAAGATTTTGTTCGTGAGATTTGTTTTGCGATTGAAAGGATTTTAGCTCGATTAGTTTCAGAGTAAATATTGAAAAGCGTTTTGAATTTCGTTTTTTTATGCCATTGACTATTTTTAGTTGCTTCTTTTACTAAAGAAAAAAATCAAAGCTCGTCAGCCAGTTTACCAATTAACTAAACGAACAGCGTCTGATTAAGATTACTCGCTGAAGCGCTTTCACATTTGAATGCATAGATTGCAATTCATAAGTGCCTATTTGACAAAACTAGCGAAAGCAACAACAAAAGAATGTATGAATGACTATGAAGAAAAAATCGATTTTTATCGATCGAGTTTTGGCTAATCGGTAGGATTAATTTTCGGATAGGTAAACCCTGATAATATACAACATAACAGAACAGGCGAAAAAACGAAAGTGCACCTGCACATGGTCGCACCGATATATATATTGATGAGTATTGTTGATTTTTTCAATGTAAGTGCTGATTTTTTTCTAACTTGATGATATTCGTTTAACAAAATTGGTCATACAACAACCAAAGGTGGAAGTCGTTATAGTTCTGGTTTTTAAAATAATATTGTAGTGTAATTTGTTTTATTTTTTTGATTATTTAAATTTAATGTTGAAATTTGTTAGAATATTAACTATGGATTTCTTGACTATTATAGAATCTCTCTTTCAGACTTTCTTTGGTCTTTTTTTTGTTGCTGACTGTATACTGAATGGTCGCCTAAGTTTGACCATAGTATTTGGTGGCTTCTTCTCAAACATTTTAAACTTTCCCTTTGTAATTGTAGTTTCGAGTTTGATTACATTAATTTGCGTGTTTTACGTCAGTCCTGCTGCCATTTTCACATCATTAGTTATTTCATGTATTTTGCGTAATATAATAGTTGATATATGTGCTTTGCTGTCTCCTTCGTTTATTGACGTTTGGATTTCTGCTTCTATCTGCCTCTTCCTTGTGGTTTCTGTACCAGTCGGATTAGGTTTCGATTTAATAATTTGTGGTCTCTCAAAATGCGCAAAATCTGCTAATGTGCGCATTATTATATTTCCAATCGCCGTTTGTGTGATTACATGTGTTTCGATTGCATTTTCCCATGCCGATCAAATTATACTAATTGCTCGAACTGTGCAAGCTAATTCATCATTAATTATCTCCTTAATATCTTTAGTTCAAATTTGCTACTTGTTCTCGAACTCTAATTCGCAGTCCCAATCTTTTATTTTGTTTTTGGTTCTACTGATTGGTACTTTATATCCAGGTCAAAAGCGTCAATTTATCACAAAATTTTCCACGTTTGAACTTGTCGATTCATCGTTCTCTACAAGTTTGGTAACTGTAGTTAATGATCGTGAATTGGATGTGAAAATTATGCGTATAGATCATAGTATTGTTGGTGGTGTATTTAATACAGGGTTCGAATCAATATTTGAGACCTTTTACTGGTATGAATTACCATGCCATGTGCCCTGGATGAAATCTACTGCTAAATCGATGAAAAAGCACGCTTTAGTTGTTGGATGTGGAGTTGGTATCGTTGTTGATGCGCTCATAAATCGTTGCAAATTCGATCAAGTAATTGTGGTAGACAACAACGCTGATGTACTTAGTTTTGCCTCGAAATACTTCGGCTTGAGCAGAAATGCCTCGCTCATTACTGCGGATGGTCTAGAGTTTATTACGACACAAGATACTAATAAATTTGAATTAATTGTGTATGATGTATTTAGTGGTTTGTTTATGCGTAGTAATTATATTCAAGAATTAGTGTCCAACTGTTTTAGGATACTGTCTGATAATGGTATTTTAGTGCTTAATCTGGTTGCTACAGTTGAAATGGAAGTTTTACACACCATTGTCCAACAACTTCAAACTGCTTTCAAACAACTAAAGTGTTTTTGTGAAGGCGGAATTGATTCAGTTAACACTAGTGCACTCGTCAATTTTGTGTTTTTTGCTATTAAAAGTGAAGAACCACTACAATTTGATATATCAGATGATAATAATGATCAATATAATTATCATGAAGCTTTTAAAAGTGCATTTAAAAATTTTAAATCGAGCGAAATTCAACTTAATAAACTTAACACTTATCGAAGAGTAAATCAACGGCAAATTGAATTCTCAGTAGAAAAATCTAACTTCCAATCTATGCGCGAAATGTTACCCTCCAGTTTTTGGCTGTTATACTGAAATTTTACATTTTATCATTTGATGAATTACGAAGACTGCATTGCAAATTATGATAAATTGTGTTGATGATCAAGAGCGTTTTTCCTGCGAATTAATTTTTCTCCAACGAGAAATTCATTTTTGAATAATACTAACAGCGGTAAAGAAGGTTGCTATATCAAAAAGCCAATAGTGCGCAGTATTGAATCAGTTTGAATCAAAATACTATCTGCTTTACTCATCTGAATGTATATTCTAACTGACCACCATACGTTGTACCAATAAGCTACTCATCGTTCTTGTCAAAATAAAATCTCTCTCTTCGCGCATCATGTGCAATAATTGTAATCTCGTACGTATTATCATTCTGGTCATTTACTTAGTAGTTTTAAATATCTTCGTGAAAGTCGCCCAGAGTTAATCATGAATGAACTCGTGGAGATCTAATCATCTTTTCTAAATGGTCTTTATCGATCCAAAACGCCAGCATGGCTTGTCAACTTGAGTGACTATGAATTGATTTTTAAAAACTTTCTTCTCTTTCTCGGAGATATGGGTAGTTGGTGACATCGAGTTTTGATAAAAAATTTATCTTAAGTCCTTGACTTGAGGTGAAACCAATTTTATATAGATAGGAAATAAAGACAGCTGCTCAAACTTTCTTAGTACTTGATGATACTATTGATTCTGAATCCACAAAAACTAAAAACTAGCTGTCGGTATTTTCTACTGAGAAAAAAATGAAAATGAAAAATGTTGCTGTAATTCTGTAACATAGAGCTTACATTAGAGTTATAATCAAAATCAAATTTTACAGACTTGATTTCTATTTAACTGCATCACCTGTATCAGACGTTTAAGTGTCTTATCAAGCATTGCTTTACATTGTTCAGGTCTAATTTTGCGTCCTCCTGGAGTAATAAAATTGACGAGTGAATCAAGATTGTCAAATGTTTTTGCTCGAGTTTTTTCTCTAAGAATTTTACACACATTTCGATAGATCATACATCGTAAATTTTGCATCTCCATCATTTATCTCGAATCTTTCTTGAAAGTGATGAGAAAGAGTATCCATAGCTACCTTAGTTCGATGTTTCCAGTCTTAGTCATTCCGGAATATAAATCCATCAAGATCCTCTATCATTTCAGTGTTTGCTAGAATATCTTTTTCGTCTAAAAATCTAGTATATAATTCGCCAGGCATGTATAATCTTTTGCGATCATTATCTGAGCGTTGATTTCGTAACCATTGAATAAAATTTACTGGGCCATCTTGAGCTGCAAACCCTTTCGTGCAAATTTCACCCCAAAATGTAACACGTGGTTCTTTGTTAATTCTTGATCATTTTTGAGCTTTTCTTAGTTTAAATGGCTTTAAATTCAATTGTTCTGCTCGGACAGTTTCTGACGTACCACATCTAGGTTTATTCTCTGTTGTTCCTCCTTGTAGTATTCGATAGACTTTCCATGTTAATGCAGCACGGTGCCATCAAGGTGTAGGTTCGTGTATCACGAAGGTGCCGTTTTCTCGATTCTTCTCTTTTTCGTTGCTCAAAGACGAAGCTAACACTGGTCAATGAATGGATGAATGAATATATGAGAGATAGGTATTCTCAAAAAAACGAAAGGATAGCGTTCACAAATCTCTGGAGAAGTTAGTACGAGTACAAAAATATAAGATGTTTACAGAGAATACACATCGTTCGACATATATTTCGAGTAACTGAATAAAATTGCCTGTAATGTCAGATAGTGATGACGAATACGGTAAGTATTGCGAGACAGTCTATCACCAAACATTACGAATCTAAAATTGCTTAAATAATAATTTGAAACTGATGTTGACCATAGACTGTTTTGCGGAGCATCCTTTAGTGGATCTTTTCAGTATAGAGAAACAAAGTTTTAAACGTGTTCCTTAATAATGAAAAACTAGTTATACAAAGCGACTCTGAACCACCCTTTATGTTTGGTCTTCTATGTTTATAATGCACCAGGTAATTCTTTAAAACTTGATTCGAAATATTTTTTAGCATCAGATATATCAGCAGATAAATCCTCAATTGAAGACATTAAAACAAATAATTCTCTCCTTTATTTTAATTGAATTCAAGCGGTTTTTTATTAATAGATTCCTTCATGTTACATATATTATGTCTATCAATTGAGTATGAATATAAAATATAATGGTAGATCATGTCAAGAATGTCCAGCTATAAGATGTGCAGCACCACTATGCGAAAAACCTGGACCAACATTGAGAAATAATGATAATGGCACATATTTCGGATGTCCAAAATGTCCTGCTGAACGTCCGCTAGGCGTAGCACTTTACCGTTACTTTAGTAGTAACTAATTTAATTACATTAACTACTGTCAAAAACTTTATAAAAGGCAAATGGAAGAAAGTTGTATAACTTTTGATTCATGAAGAATTATTTCGAACTGTGATGTTCATCATTCTATAGAGGAGAGTCGGGGGGCAGATGCCTATGTGGGTAAGTCGCCATTCAAAGTAGATTTTCGCCGATGCAATTGAGCATGTATTAGAGGATCTTTTTTTTTCATAATGTTGGCACCCCGACATGCCCGCTGCACGCTGTTATCAAAGGAATTTTCCTTACTGAAAATAACAGAGATATTTCAACGGTGAAACTACACGTAACACATTTCTCGCTAAAAAATGAAAATACGGGTTTCTCAATATACTAAGCGTATTGTGCCACATTTTTATGTACAGATCTGACCTTGAAGGTCATTTTCAAAAAAAATTCTTCTTTCAGTTCACTTAATCCTGTAGTCTTTAGATTTTTTTAAAAATCTTTTACAGTAATAGAGATTCTGTCATCTTTAAACAAAAACGTCAACATAAAACATGCATTTTTGAGTCTCCTGGCAAGCAGTTCATTTTGCCATGTTTTGGTTTAAAATAAGCTATTTTTTTCTCTTGAAAATGTTTATTTTGAGCTAAATTTGTTGAAATCATAAGCCATCTGATGAATCTTCCTGAGCAGAAGATGAAACTAGTTATAATACCTCTACTCACCCTCACCCACGCAAACAGAAAAATTTGCACTTGTATTCTACACATGTTCAGTGCATATTTTTGCTCGTTCTGTTGAGTTGCCTGGCAACGGCCTAACTATTTTTTCTTTTTGCTTTCTATTATTATATAAATGTGTGTTAAGTACGCTTTTCGATCAGTATGAGTTGTAAAAGAGAATTTTTTATGTAAAGACAGTGAACTAGACCAGTAAATATTTTATTGTTAGTTACCCGATAGTATGGAATCCAATGGTGAAAGCGAACGAGTGGTGCTTAACGGAGGAAAACATGTTATGCTCTCTTACAATTGGAATAGTCAAACTATTGTATCTCAAATATACCAAATTCTAAAAGATGAATCTATTCCAATTTGGTTTGATATACAAGGAGATATGAAACAGAATATATACGATAGGTATGAATATTCATACAAATGAATATAATGATTTTATTCTATTTTTATTTAGTATGGCTGATGGAATAGAAAATGCTGCAGTTGTTTGTTGTTTTTTAACGCCAGATTACCAAAAATCTGAAAACTGTAAACTTGAATTACAATATGCAAAAAAACGAGGCAAACGTATTATTCCATGCATGCTTGGCGATAAATCTTGGAAACCATCAAGTTGGCTAGGGTTGATAACTGCTGGAGATCAATATATAAACTTCCGAGATCAATCTTCAGAGAATATTCATTCAAAAACCAAACAATTAATAGATCGAATAAAAGAACAATGTTCAATTGTGCAAACAGTCGATGAACCAAGTTATCTTTTTGAACTAATTAAACTTAATTATAAACGAAACAATCGTATTGAACAAATAATGAATCCAGCACAATCTTTTTCTATTGAACAAAGTTATATTAACTTAGCTATCGTTGAAATTAAAGAACAGCAAGAAACAGAAAAAAAACTTCGAAATGCTCAATATAATGATACAATTATTGGTACTTTTGAACAGATCTATGGTACGAAAACTGTTGTTGATATTAGCAATATTTTTAATAAGTGCAAAGATCAAACGAAAAATGTTCTCGTACTTGGACGAGCTGGAATTGGTAAGTCAATATTTTGTCAATATATTGCTTACAAGTGGGCTACAGGTGAAATATGGTCACAGTATGATCTACTTATTTTGTTTCCATTACGATCTTTAAATGAAAGTCGTTATCCACCATTATCACCTGGAATAAACTATTCTCTAATTGATCTAGTAAAAAAAGAATATTTTGGTGATGAACTTTCTGAAAACGATGATAAACTCTTAAAAGAACAGTTTAATAGAAGTAAAATTTTATGGATTTTGGATGGCTATGATGAAATTGTGCAGAATGTGCCAGAACATTTACGTTACCTATTCGAACAATTACTTAAGACGCCACATCACATCATAACATCTCGTCCCTATTTAAACACTTTGTCGTATGCAGTGCAACTGGAAATTACAGGTTTTACAGATGATAATATTGTGGAATATGTGAAACAATTCTTTGATCAAACATCGACAAGTGAAAAACTATTAAGCTTTCTAAAACTGAATCCTAGCATATGGGGTATTGCACATATACCAATTAGTCTAGAATTAATTTGTAGTGTTTGGAGTGATACTGATTGGTCTGAAACAAAGACTTTAACCATCACAGCATTGTATGATTACATTACAGAATGGCTGTGTCGACGATTTTTGACTAAACAAAATACTGATATTCAAATGAGTAAAGACGATGTTTATATAGATTGTCAAAAAGAATTGATATTTTTGGAAACGTTAGCATTTAGAGGAATGGAAAATAACACGATTATTTTACGAAAAGAATTACTGCAAAAAGTTTTGAAGGAAACTGAATATTCATCAAAAAATTATGCACGCTTACTCAATATTGGTATTCTAAAATCTATTAATGACAAGTCATTTGGCAATCAGATCGAAGTACAGAAAGATCATTATTTTATTCATTTAAGTTTCCAAGAACATTTTGCAGCACGATATTTAACCAATGCTCTCAATGGTCCAAAACGTCAAATAGCTATTGATTTTATTAATACTCATAAGTACAATCAACGTTTTCAATTGGTATTTACCTTTACATCCGGTCTTCTTCTTCAGTCTGATCATCAACCATCTATTGATACATTTTGGAACACCATACTAGGAGAACCTTTGGATTTAGTTGGATTGCGACATACACAATTAATTATGTCTTGCATGGAAGAGACTAGTGTTAGTAGCAACTCAAATCTTGGTCAACATACCGAAATAATGTATCTGATAGCAGATGCAATGATAATTGCCACATCCATGAAACACATTACTATTTACGATCACCTTTTACAATCAATGCAAAGAAGTATTTCGTTAGTAAATGACCCAATCATACAAGACACACTTATTAAATTGTTGGAAAATGGTGAGCCATATACAACAAAAAGTGTACTTTCATTGATTGCACAACTATCACTTTCAAATCCATCAACTCAACTCATTCAAGTACTATTGTTGCACTTTGATGATCCCGAATGGCATACCAGACAGATAGTATGTGATGCTTTCGAAAAAATGGGTAGTAAAGCAGCAACAGATGAAGTGATATATAAGTTGACGTCGGCATTACATGACACAAATGCTACTGTCCGAGCGAATGCCTGCGGTGCTCTTGGGAAAATCGGTAAAGATACAGCAACAGATAGTGTTACAAGTAGATTAGTAGCTGCGCTTGCAGATGATAATGAATATGTTCGACGAAGAGCATGTGAAGCCCTGGGAGATATTGGTGCAAAAGCAGCAATAAATGATGTCATGCATAGATTATTGGGTGTTCTCGAAGATAAAAGTGGGGATGTTAGATGGAGAGCATGCGAAGCACTTGGAAAAATGGGTGAAAAAGCGGCAATCGACACTGTACTGAATAGATTGATAATCGCACTTGGAGACCTAAATGTGGATGTTAGAAAAAAAGCACGCGAAGCTCTGGAGAAAATGGGTGAAAAAGCAACAAACAAAATTATTCTGAATAGATTATTGACTGCACTTGGAGATGCAGACACCAATATCCGGCGAAGCGCTTGCATAGCTTTAGGCGAAATGAATGAAAAAATAGGAACAAACGATGTAATTTATAGATTGCTAAGTGCACTACACGATGAGAGTGCAGATGTCAGAGAAAATGCATGCAAAGCTCTTGGACAAATGCATGAAAACACAGCGATCGATGATGTTATTAGTGGACTAGTGATTGCACTACGAGACGAAAATAATAACGTCAGATGGAGTGCATGTCAGGTGCTTAGGAGAATGGGTGAAAAGGTACCAATCAATGAGATAATCGATGGGTTGGTAAGTGTACTTCGCCATGAAGACTGGAGCGTTAGACAGAATGCATGTAAAGCTCTTGGAGAAATAGGTGAAAAAGCAGCAACTGATACTGTAATTACTGGACTAGTGGCTGCAATTGGAGATGAATATGGAAATGTCCAAGAGACAGCATGCCAAGTACTTGGAGACATGGGTGAAAAAGTAGCAACGGATGAGGTGATCAATACGCTAATCATTGCACTTGGAAATACGTGGTCAAATGTCAGAGAAAATGCATGGGAATCTCTTAGAAAAATGGGTGAAAAAGTAGTAATCAATGATCTAATAAATAGACTATTAGTTGCGCTTGGTGATGAGAAGTATAATGTTAGATCCACGGCCTGTCGAGCTCTGGGACAAATTAGTAAAACAGTAGCGACTAATGATGTAATCCAAGGGATACTGAATGCATCGATGGATGAAAATCCATATGTTAGACGAACAGCATGTGAAACACTTGGTCAGATGGGCGAACAAGCAGCAACTAACGATGTTATGAATAGACTTATATGTCTCTTGAAAGATGAGAACATAGATAACAGATGTCGAGCATGTGAAGCTTTTGGTCAAATGGGGGAAAAAGCAGTAACTAATGACGTTCTTAATGGATTGGTGACTGCAATTACAGATGAAAATTGGAATGTTAGTATGAGTGCATGTATTGCTTTGGAGAAGATGGGTGAAAAAGCAGCAACTGATACGGTGATCAGTGCATTGGTGGGTGCACTTGGGAATCAAATGAGTCATACGAGAAGAAAAGCATGTGAAGCTCTCGGGAAATTTGGTGAGAAAGTATTGACCGATGAGATAATTAATGGACTGGTGACCGCTCTATGGGATAAGAATACGGGTGTCCGAGAGAGCGCGTGTCAAGTTTTCGAACGAATCGGTGACAAAGTAGCTACTGATGGAGTGATCAGCGGATTGTTAAATGCCCGTCGTGGTGTCTTTGGATGTAGTGCAGCTAACGAAGCACTCGAAAAGATTTTCCTTTCGTTTTCGATGTTAACACAATTGTCCGCAGATACAATTTCGAAACTTGCCGAAAACATGAAGCAAGGCTATTTAGAGAACTTACGAACTGTTCCTCCAGATCAATTTCTGAAAGTATTCCTGCATACAAAAAATACTATGTGGCTGTCTGTGGTAACTATCAGTGCACTATTACAAGGAAATGCAGTTACTACTACTAACAATACTATTATGATCTATGGACGTCAAGAGCCAATTCGAATAACTGTTTCAGATGAAATTCTACTTAAAGAATTAATCAATGCTTTTAATCAGCAGAAAGAAGAACTTCAGTTACCTTTGAAACTTCCAATGAAATCAAGAGCGGTCTCTGCTGTATGCGTTCTAATGTAACACTATAAATTTTGTAAGATGACTTTCACTGAGAGTGTGAGTGTGAAAATGAAGTTGATGAGCGAAGGTCTGAATTTGAGAAAGAATCTCAGTGAAAGAAGCATTTTTGATAAAGTTTGGCGAAGAAAATAGCTTTGAAAGTTCTTTTGCGTACACTCAGCTTGAAGCGAGTGCATCGGACCTTGTCGGGAGGGTTTTTAATTGGGTGCAATACGGACAACCGGATTCGCAAAGATCCGATCAGATCAGCTGTTGGTGCACATTGAAACTAATCAGAAATCTGTGAGTATAAATAATTGAACTGACTAGCATGTTGTCAAAGAAATAGAATGTTCTAAAACGATTGAAATTTTATTTCTGTATATTTTATGTAACTAAATTAAATCCAGTGATTGGCTTGATAATATTTCAGTCAAATGTGTTAACAATTACCAAATTGAAGTAAGCATATAAATAACTGCTACTTATCGAAATAGATATGTATTTAATGACTTTATTACGACAAAAAGCTCATCAAAATATGTTCGACTTTTGATTAATGGTAAAGAATGATCAAATTGATTGCTTGATGTATAACTTTGCATAATTTCTGACACCTCTAAACTTGAGCTTGGTCATTATTCATGAATAATACCTGTCGATACAGCAATCGTAGTTTTTACTAATAAGTATGAGACAGTTGATCATGGCTAAATAAAAGAGCAGTTTAGGTCAGATTGCTCATACAAATAAATATATCATTGTATCAATTCTTTTATCAAAAGAAGATTTCAAAACGTTGAAATGATGAATTATATTTCGTTAAGTGCATTTGAAAGATTGCCAGGAACGATCGACCGTCTTTGAATACATAATTTAGAAGTTTTTTTTTGAAATTTCGTGATTAAATTACATTGATTAATCTCGTGAGAGTGTGAATACGATGTCGATAAATCAGGTATTTGCTTCCACTTTCATATCTAATTCTCGCCCTCAAAAAAATCATTTTATTTTATTGACTTAAATCTCTTGAAGATAAACTGAACATTGAGTTCGACATTATATAGTAAATAATATCATATTGATTGTGTTTCCTTTTGAATATGAACGAAGCCAAATTTTATCATCATTCATTATGTTTACTTTGTTGTCATTAGCGATCTTGACTTTCTCATCATATTCTAATCGATGATATGTTTTAACATGAGATAAATCGTACTTCTGTAGTCGCATATTTGATTTTTGTTTGTAATTATCTTTACATTTAGAAATAAAGATAATCCTATATGATGGGTTTTCGGATAATTTTATTATGGATTCTACGGCACCTTCAATGGGTTCGTCAGGCATGCAATCACAGTGATTCGATGAACACTCATAACAATAACGGATTATCTAGGAAAAAAATGTTACTGTGCATAGCCTGTAAGTGAAAGCTTCAATAATTATAATAGGAAGAAAACCTGGTTAAAATGTCATTATGAGATATGTTTCATTTACGTATAGACTTAGAAAATTTTCAACATTAAATACAAGAGAATAATAAATAAAATCGATCATTGACAATGAAGTTATCCACTCAGTAAAACATTTGTTTTTAACCTTATTACTAATGAAAGAGGAATTCGTTTTCTGTTACATGAGTGAAGTCTTAGCTTAGCACTATTTTGAAAACTTTTCGCCAATTATTATTCATTCTGTAGTTCCTACGTTGAATTGAAGTGCTCATTTTTCGCTATAGTATAGACTGAAACTAAATTTATCGAACGTTAATCAAGTGAAATTTGACTGTAACTTGTATATCCTTATGCAATAAACTATCTTGAATGAACGAGGGCAAGGATAAGGACATAGGTAAGATGTCAGTAAAATAAAGATTCACATCCATTTTCATATCTCATCCTCACAGATATCTTGCAAATTTTAACAGAATCCAATTTTCGTCCTCCACTTATGAGTTTGTCATTTCGGACATGTTTATTCTTTGATCTGATGTGTTTCTTTATTTTTAATTTCTAGTCGCTTGTTTTTTATACAGTACTCTACCTAAGAAAAAGATTGTGCAATACGAGCATGTAATATTTTTCGTTTCTTCGTATTTAATATTCTTACTCGCTTCCTTCAAATGCGTCAGAATAAAAGAACAAAAATAATTGTGTACAGTTTATAAACATGAAAACAAAGTGGTGATCCTGTTACAGTCATGTCTCTACACGTTTCAAAGCTGGAGCATTTATCAAATGAATTGCAGATTATTTTGTTAAAATATCTCAACTTCTACGATCGTTATCTCAGTTTTTTTGGAATCAATCGTCGATTTGATTTACTCGTTAAACATTTAACACCGACGAAAATTGACAATGTACACATAAAACAAGATATTGAATTACTTTGCCCAAGAGATGGCTATATTCTACACGGCACATATATGTTTTTGCCCCATCTTGATTGCAATCTTCGTCGATTGAAATGGCAATTTTTTCCATCTGATAGAACGCCTCAATGTATTCATCAAAGGATTCGACGCGTTTGCGTTCATCATCTTGTCGATTTACATTCATTTTTCTCCGCTCGATTAGACATGAAAGAATTACGTAATAAAATTTCGAACTTTATTGACGAAGATCCTCCAGATTATTATGACTGGGATACTCCATTATATTATACACGTCAGGAATTGGAATCTTTGTTAGAAGTGGCGAAAAAAAAAGTAAAACATGAAGACGAAGAGATTATGCGAGTAGCACAAAAAATTTGGACAGAATTATTAGAACGAAATCTTATCAAGCACTGTTTTGATTTTTAACGAACAAAGAACTTCAGCGAGGATGACTATGTGGGTAAGATGTCAGTAAAATATATATTCACATCCATTTTTACAACTAGCCATCTTGAGGGTGAGGGTCTGTATAGGTATAAGTGAAACTAAATCTATTTTTATTCCTATGTAGATAGGGATTGTAGTGTGCTAGGACTAGGCCACTTATATTATAAGTCGAATTAGGCAGCTACTCAGTTTTATAGGGAAAAAAATACTTTCTACGATACAATTAACAAGGTTGTAAGTAGAAACTCAAACTATCTGTTCCATTATTGATAACAGCAACATCCAGTTTTCCATCACGACTAAAATCAGCAAGAGCAACAGAAAATGGATGAGATCTATACGGCATTGAAAAGAATATTATATTATCAAATGTTCCATCGCCGTGACCAAGAAAAACTCCAAATTTATTATTACTGTAATTCACAACAACGATATCAAGTTTATCATCGTTATTTATATATCCAACTGTAAGTGAATAAGGTGATGACGATAAACCAGTTGAATATGTTATTTGATTTGTAAATGAATTACTATCATAACTAAGAAAAATACCAATCTGATCAGAACCATAATTAGCAGTGACAAGATCTAATCGAGTATCATTATTGAAATTACCACTTGCCACAGAATATGGATATGAATTAAAGCCTGTTGAATATGTTGTTTGATCCGTAAAGGTCAAATTTCCATATCCAAAGAAAATACCAATATTATGAGTACCGGAATTAGCTACAACAATATCCATATGTTCATCATTGTTAAAATCATCAATAGCAAATGAACGTGATCGAGAATTAGTTCCAGTGAAAAGTGTTGTTTGTTTTCGGAAAACGAAATTAGAATAGCCAAACATGATGAGTAAAGTCGCGTCTAAATTAGCAACGACAATGTCAAGGTAATTATCGTTATTTAAATCATGTATTGCTAGAGAATATGGATTGGAGCCAGTTGTATATGCTGTTTGAAGGCCAAATGAACCGGTACCATCTCCTAACAAGACACTTATGAAGTTTTCACCAGCATTTGCAACAATAATATCTGCATAATTATCATTATTACAATCACCAATAGCGATAGATGTTGGGTATGAGCCAACTGAAAAGATTTTTTTATTTGAGAAAGATCCATTACCATAGCCAAGAAGAACAGTTACTGCACTGTTAACCAGATTAGTCGTAACAATGTCCAATCGATTATCATGGTTTAAATCTGCAACTACCAGTGTACCTGGGCCCTTATCAACTGAATACGTTAGTTGTTGCGTAAAAGAGCCATTTCCATAGCCAAGACAAATACCAATATTATTTAAATTATAATTAACAACAGCAAGATCCACATGAGTATCATTATTAAAATCAGCTGTAATTATACCTCCTGGACCGTCACCAGCTTGATTTCTTACTTCAGTTACGAAAAACGATCCATTACCAAATCCTTGAAATAGAATGATCTCTCCAACCAAAGTGATGATAACTAGGTCTAGTCGACTGTCTTCATTGAAATCACCCACAGCTAGATGTATTACACCAGAGTCACCTGAGTAAGTGATTGGATTAGAAAAACTATCATTATCCTCTCTGAGAAATATATTAAGCGTATAATCAAGGATATTTCCAACAACGAGGTCTGATCGGTTATCGGAATTAAAATCGCCAATTGCGACATAGTTTGGACCAATATCTGTTGAATATATCAATGGGTCTGTAAAACTTCCATTTCCTTGCCCGTATAGGATTCGAATATCATTTGAATCAAAATTAACAACAATAATGTCAATATAACTATCATTATTAAGATAGTCCACAACTACATGTCTTGGAGTTAAACCAACTGAATATTTGTGTGCAACCAGAAAAGATCCTGTATCATATGTACTGAGTATATCAATTGTATTACTATCATCGTATGCAATAACAATTTCGGATTGTCCATCATCATTAAAATCACCAGTTGAAACAATGAACGGAGAATATAATAAAGGAATTTGATCCGTTTGTTGACGAATAAATAATCCTTGTCCGTTTCCAAGTAACATTCCAATTTGATTTGAACCAGCAAGAGCTACAGCAATATCTAATTGTTGATCATGATTGAAATCACCCAACTTAATTGATGTTGGTTGAGAATTGATATCCATCTTGATCTTTATTTCATTACGAAAATTCATATTTTCATAACCAAACAGAACGATAAGATCATCAGTAGCATAATTGGCTGTAATAATATCTAAATAAGTATCATTATTTATATCATTAATAATCATTGATCGTAATTTTGAACTTCCACTCGATGCATAAGTCAAATAATTTTTAAGAATACCTTGATTATTTTGAAATAATATTCGTATAGAATCACTTTCCACATCTGTTACAATGATATCTAATCGTTGATCATGATTAAAATCAACAATAGTTACAGCATATGAAAATGAATTAGTAAAATATAACATTGCATTACTAAATGAACCATTACCATATCCATATAAAATATAAATTCCTGACACACCCCAGCAAGTAACTACAAGATCTAAATATGTATCATTATTTATGTCGCCAATCTCTATATATGATGGATTTGTACCAACTCCATATGTAGTTTGCTTTCCAAAAGAATCATTTCTAAGCCCAAGAAAAACATTTATAACTCGGCTTTCATATAGAGTAACAACAACATCCATGTAAGTATCATTATCAAAATCAGCAACTACGACAAAATATGGGTAATTACCAGTTGAGAATTTCGTTTGATTTGAAAAGCTTCCATTGCCAAGTCCATACAAAATACTCATATTGTTATCATGGTAATCAGTAACAATTAAATCAAGATAATGATCATTATTCATGTCACTTATAGCTACAGTATATGGTGTAGTTCCGGGTGAATATTTCATTAGTGGTGCAAAAGAACCATTACCATAACCTAGTAAAACACTAACAGTATGACTAAGAAAACTGGTAACAACAATATCTAATCGATGATCATTGTTCAAATCATTAACAACTACAAAATATGGAGAAGGACCAGTTGAATATACGCCTATCTCTGGAAAAGTGCCATCTCCTTTTCCAAAGTATATGTAGATATTATTACTATCACAATTAACAACAACTATATCGACGTTTGTATCACTATTAAAATCTCCAACAGCTAATGCACCTGGGTTGGAACCAGTTAAATATGATTCTTCATAGAAAGACAATCCATCATAAGATACAAGACAAATCATAAGTTTATCATCACGATAACTAGTAATTATTAAATCTGATATCATATCATGATTTAAATCATGATTAATTATAAAGTAAGATTCTGAAGAAATATTAAAATAATGTCGAATTGAAAAACCTTGAAAATATCCATGAAGAACATTAATATTTCCAGTATCATTATTAACAATAATCGCATCTAATCGATGATCTTTATTTAAATCAAATAAAACAAATGAAATAGATGAAGATGATCCTGTTGAACTCATTAATCCATCTTGAAAACTTCCATTTCCATAACCAAGAAATAATCCTGTATTATTTTTTCCAATATTAATTGTAAATAAATCTAAATGATTATCTCCATTGAAATCATCAATACCAATCGAATATGGTGAAACAGAACCTGTTGAATAGAAAATTTGTTTGGAAAACGTTCCATATTGATCATTCAACATCACACAGATATTCTTTGTACCAGAATTCGTTACAACAATATCAAGATATTGATCAGAATTAAGATCGACAGCAGCGATTGATGTTGGTTGGGAATTGATTCCAGTTGATATCATTATTTGATCTTTAAATGAATTATTTTCATTGGCAAAGAATATTCCAATATTATTTATGCCATAATTTGCTACGATAATATCTAATCTAAGATCGTTATTCAAATCTTCAACAGTTAATGAGTATGGATGAGAATCGAATCCAGTTGAATAAGTCTGAGATTTCATATAAAATTCCTTTGCATTTCCATAGAAAACTGTGAAACTATCTGCGCCATAATTAATGACAATAATATCACAAAATGAATCATTATTCATATCACTTAAATGAATGAATATCGGTCTTGATTTTCCCGTTGATATTTCAAATTGCTCTCCAAATGATGCATTTCCAAAACCATAGAAAATACCGATGGAATGTCTTCCATAATTAGCTACTGCAATATCCAAATGTGAATCATCATTTAGATGATTAACAGCAATCATCAAAGGATTCGAATTTGTACCAGTAGAATAATGAAACTGTTTTGAAAATGTTTCATCATTTAATCCTAAATAAATATCAATTTGATTAATAATTGAATTAGCAATAACCATGTCCATCCATGAATCATAATTAAAATCGCCAATGGCAACAGACTGTGGGCCATAATTATATTCAATAGGATTTGAATTTCGTCGTACAAAATTTAATTCACATTTTTTTACTGAAAATAATCAAAGGAAATTCACATTTGTTATGAGAAAAAAAACGAAACAAACCTATTGGTTTCGGTGTTACTAAACACACAATTGTAATTCCGATGATTAAAACAATGAAAAAAAGAGATACTATTAAAATCACAATAAGATGTTCTAACATTTTGAAATAGAACCGTTTTCTTTAAAATTGAAAAAAGACTGAAATGAAGGAAAAAACAGAAGACATACTTACAAGTTCCAGAAAAATTTTCGAAATGGATTAACTTTGTTTTTAATGTCATTCCTGATAATAATTTTCGCATTGAAATTCTCTTCCGTTCCGAAGTCGTTGTTTTGTTGACAGTTCTCAGATTGATTCATCCGAACCATTTCAATCTAAATAAACGAAAGACTTGCGAATAAGAAAATCTTTGATCAATCTCGATTTCTTACTTGATCCATCTTGAATTGATCGTTCTTAGAAAGTTGTCTTTGAAGTCGAAATCAAAATATTTTTAGTTGGTAAATAGATATGTGTATTCATATGATCATTAAATCATAAAATGACGTTATTCTCTCTTTTGTTAAAATGAGACTATGTATTCATTTATTTTTAGCATATTCGTCATCGATTATTTTGAATGAATCGATAATTATCTTTTGATATCGACGGATCACAAAAATAATAGATAATTTATTTATTCGTTTTTATTCTTTCATAAAAATGAAATATGCATTGCGAATATCAATTCTCTCTACATTTCGATCAATATACATAATGAAAAACAATAGAGAATCTTCTTTTTCGTTGCTTTATATTGATAATATAAGTTGAATTAATTAACGATTGATATTTCAAGAAATGATCAATCGATGTTGTATGAAATCAATTGAAATTTTCACTCTTGTTAGTCGCATTAAATCACCCTCAACATTTCCGTCAATCATCATAATTCCTTTCAACTTGGGAAAGCACTACAGAAAATTTCGTGACACTGGTTAATGAAATAGTCACTCAGGCGAGATTAGTTAAGTCAACTACTGATTATTCTGATGTTTCTTTATACGCCATATGAACATAATCTGTTAAATTACGAGTAAATCTTACTAATGATAAGCATGCGTTATAAACTGATATTCGAATTTTGTTTTGAATAATTCAGAAATGAAGTAAATTTCTTTGATCAATCAAATTTTCGATTGCTTAGGAAATCTTTTCAAGAGTGCTAGCTCCTACTCTATTTGACTCCGTAATCCTCTTTTCAACAGTATATAGATCTGATACTAATTGAATCTGATTAGATGTTTTTCTTAATCATTCGTACATTACAAAGATTTATAAGTTTGATTATAGTTGAGTCATTATTTTTACTAAAAAAAGATAAGATTGTCGTAAACAAAAAATATGAATGATAATACGAACAAGTAAATACATCGATTTATTTTATATAACAGACCGAAAAAATGATCACGTGGTTTTTTCACGACGATATTTTTTTCAATCGTCATTAGTCTATTGACTCATAAAAGGTGAATAAACATTTACTCTGGGAGTTAGATAAATCAATACTGGTCAATTTAATTTTACTATCGATTCAATGAAACAGATATTCCATTCATTATTTTTTATTAAGACTCGGATTTGTTGTTTACTTGTGACTTAGTAATTTTTTTCAGAATATCTTGAGGGTGAGCGTGAGTGAAATTTTTTTAATGATTGGAATCGATTGAGCTCATCGAGTTCCACGTGGAACAAACGTGATCAGATTTGGAATACACTCGTGTACGAATCCGTGTCTAAGATATCCTACGCGATAATTTTGTAATCGAATTTTTAAAATTCGTTTGAAGTTTATTAAATAGTTTTCAAATTTTATTACAAAATCTTTCTTACTGTGAAAAGAGAACTTTTCGGATCATGATTTAGTCATTGTTCACGTATTCAAACACTTTTAAGTTCTTATGAGTTAAATCAACTGCTTTTTTAAAGTATGCTGAATCATCGTGATATCTACGATATCTTTTCTGTAGCGTCTAATAAAACAACTTGCTTTTTCTTATGTACTTTCAGAAAAATATTAAGCGATCAAACTTAGAAAATTATTTTATTCAATCGAAATTAACATGCTTAGATGCATCTTGCAAATTCGAGAAGATATCTTGAACTAAAGCCTCATCGATTCGTGTTTCTAAGTAAAAAGAACACATGGCGCATTCAAAGATGCCAACTGTAAAGAAAGAAGAGAACAACAACAAACTTGTCATCTTTCGAACCCTTAATCACGTTTACTAATCTACATGCAAACGATGTTTAGTGAATTTTTTCGTTATCTTTCTTCCAAGGTAAGTAAAAACATTTGTCACCATTAGTTTCTTTCTTTTCAACGACAAAATGTACAAGTGAGAGTGTGAGTATGATGATCTAGTTCAAAGTGAACAAGTCTTATCAAGATTAAAATAAGATGTTTCATCGTATTGTTTTATCCCTTTACGAATATTTTATTTAATAAATCAACAGAACAATGTCTTTACAATTGCCCATCTAACTAATTGACTAATAACATTTCTACGATAATTGAATAAATCGAATATACGAAGAAAAACGAGAATTAATTCTGTATTTATTCAATCCAAGGCTTTATCAATGTTGTTATTTTTGCACTCCGTTCTCGATGACCATAATCTTTTTCGTTTAATGGGCAAATAATTTTTGTTTGAAAATAAACATTTGCTCGATGATCCATATTCATTTCAATAATTCGATTCCAATTTTTATAATGACGATCTAAATAAGCTCGTCGATTTTTCTCTCCAGCAATTGCCCATAATTTTAAATGAGCAAATGAGACACGTTCAAATGGATTTTCCCAATCTGATTGTGTTAAATAATATTCCGGATAATCATGTAAAGCAACTTCTTGTGCGTATTTATAATATTGTTGTTTTTCATCCCAACAAATTCCAATAAGATCAAGAAATGGCCATTTACTCGTCCAATATTGACTTCCATCTGTCCAAAGATCTGGTGCTAAACATGGACTATCTTCATGTGTAACTTGTAAACCCCATCCAGGAACATCAATGATTTCTAAACCGTACTCAGCAAATTGATGATTTAATGCTTTGATTTTTGGAATATCTTCTTGAAGAATATCAAAATCAGCATCATTGTCATGTTTAATAAGACCACCATTTCTAACAAGACCTAATAGAGTCCCACCTTCAATTGTATATCGAATATGATTTTTATTGAAAAGACCATCAGTGACTTGAACAATATCATAAAGTTTATCGACTTCGTCATCAGTTAATTTTTCTTTATCTAATCTTTGTCTCATATTTCCATATTCAGTTTCTCGATTACCACATTCAGCATTCATTTGAACAAGTAGTAAATCCATGATGAATTTCGAATCTTTTCCTTCCTCCTAAATCCATTAGAAAGAATTCCATAAAAAAGATTCATCATCATTTACCAACCGGTTTTCGAAATGTAAGTTATAAGAAGATCAGTGTATCAAACTTGAATGGAGAAATCAATGTGAAATAATAACATACGCATTTATACAGAATAAATAGACAATGGAAATCGGTCAAGTTTAAAGGTTACACGAGAGAAAAACGGTGACAGGTCATTTAACGGATAGAGAAGAAATGAGACAATGATGTTTCTTGATTACAATCAGCTTTCAATCTATTCCATCGGGATAAAAAAAAGTATCCAATCCATATTTGTCTTTGTTTATAAGTGTTAAAGGTCACTCATGTATTAGAGGTATTAGATTTGTTGTGAAAATGAAATAATTGATATTCTCATATTCGATTGTTTGGATCATTAAAACCATAACTAAATATGAAAAAATCATTATGCACCACCATTCGTTTCAGTTCGACTTGACAATCGAACAAAGATCTTCATTCGAATGGGCATTGACACTTGATCTACGAGTGAATTTGGAAAGTAATTCATAAAAATTGAAATAAATTAAAAGAAAAATTCGCTTCGAATCCAGAAGCGATACGACGAAACAGGAATTTATTAGGATCAATAGATCCATCAATAGCTGATATAATGGAAGAACTGGACATTAAAAAAACGATCATAGTTTAGTTCATGAATGACTTGAGAGAGCAGCAGAACATCCTAAAATAAAAAAAAGATTTTCAAATGGCAAGAATTTGGTCCAATGGTGCATGTAAATCAAGACATGCTGTAGCTCAACAAGATCGTGGTGAATTTATGAAAACATTGGAAACACGTCAACAAACTTCACCGAAAACTTTAAAAGTAATCGAAATATCAATGAACTACGAATTGTCCTTTCAAAGTAAATATTCTGCATCAGTGGTATCTGAACGCTTCTATTTGATAGATTATAAGATGTTATGTGAATATGATCATCGTAGTTCAATAGAAGCTAAAAACTTTAGCTCAACTTCCAACTCATTTGCATAAAACAGTGAACGACATTATTAAACGAATCGAATTCTGTCATTTCATAACTTGATGAAGCTCTACGATTATGTGCTATGTAACATTGAATTTAAATTCAGATGAATTAGTTGAAAATTCCAATCAGAATCATTCCGAAAGATCATCGAAAAATTCCTTGAAGCACACTATGAAATGGCTCAATGTTTAACAGATACTATACTTAATGTTGCAATAAACTGGCGGATTTATAAACAATACAATGAAATCAAAGAGACTGATGAAAGAAATAATCTTTATTAGAAAAGTATTGCATCAAACCTTGAGTTAAACAACAAGAATTACATTACGAGAAATGAATCCAAGAAAAGATCACGTTTATACTGAATATGTCCTTTCGGTTACAATTATTGAAGATATGTGTCGATATTGTTGCGAAACAAATGCTTCAAAATGATGTCGTAAATGTAAAAAGAATGTCAAACTATGGATAGGAAATTATGTAAAAACTGAAAGATATCGATAAAAGCATCACTATACTAAAAAAACAATTTTTCGAATGCAACAGACAATAAAATAATTTCTATTTGACGGTACAATTCTTTTTTTTTTAAACAAAATCTCGTTCAAATTGGTTGGATTTGTCATTTTATTCACCATTCCATTATCACTAAAGGAGACCTAATGAAAAGGGATGATTACCAACTTGAAAATCGATTTTTGACCTGATACTTTGTGTATAACTTCTCAAACAATCATTTATGTTGTCACACTTCGCTCCAGAAAGAACGAATGCGTCATAGAAGAATTACTATAAAGTAATTTTTATTATAAGAAGAGTGATGTCATAATACCGATACTCCAGGTTTCCTTTTAAAAACCGAAGGAATTTGAATGAAGTTGGTTTTTATTTAGCGAGCAGAAAGATAAATATGGACAAATCGTGTTCGAAGAAGTTGAGTATACGAAGTTTTCGTCCATACATGGCTTCGAGTACAATGAAAACTCGAAAGACGTTTTGCTCGCTGACCCAGCCTTCCGCCACACGTTCGCGTTTTTGAGAATATAGTTTTGATATCGGAATATCGAGATGTTCAGCTCCAGTTATCCAGTTTAGTGATATTATGACCGCGCTAGTATGAAATATTTGATAGAGATCAGGTAAATGTTAAAGAATATTTATTTATTGTTTTTATTGATCACTACTGTTAGTAAAAGTTTATAAAGAAAGCATTCAAGTTTATTGTATATGATTAAAGAGCGAACTACGTGAAAAGAAATGTTCTCAATTGATAATCGCTTTTTCTGTTGCCGATCGACCAAAATTTTCTGGTGAATACATTTCTTCTGCTTTTGCTGGTGGCATGATAAATGTTCCAGCACATGTTGCACGCATAGTGTAACTCCATTGATAAACACCGGGCCATAATAATGATCGAAATGCTTCAGCACGTTCATCACGTAAGTTTTCATGTTCAGTCCAACCGGTAATATAATTTAGATAATATCTACTTGGATCTGATCTTGTTACCGACGATTCTGTATCACCGGTTATTGTACCTTTCAATTGAGTATTCAATGCTTCACATCCAGCTGGTAAATAATCCACTAATGCAATGTGATATCGTCGTTGTGTTGTTGTCATTGTTAAAACAACTTTAACTTTCTCACCTAATTTGAATTTCCATGTACCATCTTCTTGTTTTTGAACATGTGATGGATCATCAACACCTACATAAGTACGTTCAATTTTAAAACCATAATTAGCAGCATTTAATTGTAAACTTGTTGGTGCATAATTCAATGCAATTCGATAATACAATCGACCTCGGCCATCTTTTTGCATGATCAGATTCTTGTCATTTGATTGAGAAAGAACAACTTTCATTGGAATATCGACTGTCGTTGTGTTTGTTGTTCGACCTTTATATTGATGTTGGCCACAGTAATCATTATCAAGCCAAATCTTTGCAACGAAGTCTGGTGTATCTTTTTCTTTGATATGAAAATATTTCTCTAATGCAATCAAAACGAAACAATTTTCCTGTGTCGATTTCCAAGCACCTTTGACTTTATGTGCTTGAAGACCTTTACATATTTTTGTACAAAGTGTTGATTGTGGATCGATGTACAACAATGCTTCCAACAGAATAGCATCTGTTCGTTGATTCGAATGTAACATAACTGATTGACCATCATCACCATACGATGTGATAAAATTGGCCGTTTCAGCTGTTTCACTCACTTTTCCTTTAAGATATTTATAAATCGAATCAATCAATGCAGTTGCTTGCTTATTTTGTTCAGTTGATAATGCAACTAAAAGCCAACCTAATGCTTCTAAACTAAGTTGTTTAAGACCACTTCGTTCGAATAGTTTCACAGCTTCATTGGCGACATTTTGCCCGTCTTTTGCACGTACATACAGTGCATAACTCATCAAACTAAATTTTGTTGTTTTGCTCCAATATTTCGCGTATGATAATGCATCGATCTCCGATTCAATATGACTTGCATATCGAAGAGCATCTCTCAACCTTGAAAAGAAAATTATAGTTCTATTCGAAATTGTGTACTATTCTTTACCTGTTTCTTTGTGACGACAACTAAACAATGAGTGGCGTGTATGCTGACAAACGGATCAGCAGAACGATCACTTCGATTTGTCCAATAACTAAATCCACCATTTGGATATTGACGACCTTTTAATGCGTTTATATCGGATTGTAATTTCGTTGCTATTTCAGTTGTTTGCGGTAAATCTTTGCATTGAAATGCTTGTAGAACATCCCACAATGCATGCACACCCAATAGTCTTGAACTCAATTGTTCTGTACATTCGTATGGATATGTATACAATGAAATAATGGCATCTGTTAATGATGCTAATGCTGTTGAACTTGTTGAAACTGATAATTCACCGAATTGTGGAATTACATTTTCGGGTGTTTTGATCGGTTGAAAAACAACGTTTTCTTCGCTAACATCACCATACGTTGCAAATGCTTCTGATGTTGCCGGTGTAAAAACCGGTACACTTAATTCAATAGCATCACCGAATGGCACTTGATTCTCACTCGGAATTGTACTAACAATGAATTGAAAACGTGCAGTGCCTGCATCGACTGTTGACAGGGGAAATACGACAGCTGCTCGTTTATTCGGTTTTAGCTGAACAACATAACCAGCAAGTTGGTGGCTGGTGTCGGATGTAATTAGTTTAGCATTAGCTGCTTTTAGACCAGCATGTAACGATAATGGTTGATCAGTTTGATTTTGTAGAACAACTGAAAGCTTAGCTGTATCGCCATAGTTGAGAAATCGCGGTGGTGAAGGACGTAACATAACTGGCAATTGTACAGTAAATGCCATTTCACCAAAACCATATTGTTGCTCATTTGTTGCAATAGCCCATACGCGATAACGTGTGAGATTATCAGGTAGTTTAAAGTCGAATGAAACGCGTCCTGACGAATCGGTGGATGATGATGGTACCCAACATGCCAATGGATTGAAATTTGATCGAACTGCTATTGATTGGTCAGCAGCAGCATCATCGTCACCGCATAACCCATCTCTCATGCAACAGCAACGTTTTGCCGATGATTCAAAACAGCAAGATGCCAATTCACAACATTCATCTAGGACCAGGCCTCTGTCCATGTCTTGTTGCATATCTTTCTTGAATTGTTGTATATCTTGCATATTGAATAATAAACATCGGTCTCTGCCATGTTGCTGTGAAATAGCTGTTGGTCGATTTGGATAGAATACGTCTAATGGACTCGATAATTTGTAATCGGTTAGTGACAGAATCGCTTCGTCAACGACAACCAGACAAACTTCAGCTGCATTTGTGGGTGTTTTACCTCCAAATTGTGTGATGTCGACATCAATATGAATAGTTGATGATGGAGTAAAAGTTTTCTGTTCATCTTTTGTATTCACTGAAACATTTAATTTGTAGACATCTCGGGAAACTTCCAATGCAACTGAACCAACAGCAATAGCTGGACGAGTTGGTGCTTCGGCTTCTTCTGTTTCTCTTGGAAGTGAACCTGTTAATTCAACGTTCGCGGTAAATCCTGGTATCCAATCTTGTGATATTTGAAATTCAACTGTTGCCGAATCTCTTCCAGATTCGACTTGAAATTGTACTGGTTGTGAAACTTCACCTTCACAATCGAATAGGACTAGACCGGTAGCCGGACTAAATGGTGCTAAGACCAGTAATTCACATTTATCACCTGCTTGATAATTTGTTGCATTAGGTATAACCGTCAAGGTGTCTGTTGGAATATATTCAACTTTTTGTCGTTGCATTTCTTTTCCAGTACCACCGGTAACATAAAGGTTCTCATAGAAGCTCATTGCTGACCGTCCTTGTTCATCCTTGACAGTAAACGTGACGTTATATTGACCACCTAGTTTTGGTGTAAATTCTATAGTAATAGCATCTTTGTTTGAACTGACATTTGTAATTTGTTGTTCATCTTTGATTTCTTCATAAATGATTAGACCGCTTGTATCTTCTTTTCTTTCTTCTGCGGTACCAATAATTTTACATTCAACAGAAACATTATCAATTAAATTTCCATCGATATCTGTAACAATAACTTTGCTCTGTATGGGTTGATCTTTTTTACCATAATTCGTTGTCATTTGAAATCCAACATAGTATGTCGATGGATGAATAAGAAACTGTGTTTGTGTTTCTTGTGTTTGATTGTTTAAATCAGTAATCGCTGCTAATGCGCNTATCAATTAAATTTCCATCGATATCTGTAACAATAACTTTGCTCTGTATGGGTTGATCTTTTTTACCATAATTCGTTGTCATTTGAAATCCAACATAGTATGTCGATGGATGAATAAGAAACTGTGTTTGTGTTTCTTGTGTTTGATTGTTTAAATCAGTAATCGCTGCTAATGCGCGAACCATCGTTGGTCTCGGTTCAGTTTCAATACCATGATAAGTGATTTTCACTTCATGTGCACCTCTACTGTCGGTTTTACCTTGGAAGTGTTGCGAAGGATATGTTATTTTTTTGTCATCGTTATTACCAAACCAACAGAAGAATGGTCGAGCTCTACCAAACGTATACTCAGATCGATTTGGTGGTGTGAATGTTGTTGTTTCAGCACTGACGTTCCATTGAACATTTGCATCACTTAAGAAACCACCAGCAAACAATTTTCCTTGGCAACTTGCAATGACGTATTGATCATTCGTTGGATGAGAATAATGAACGGTCGTTGGTCGAGTCGTTGATGAAACTTGATATTCGGGTCGACGAAATTCTTGAATTTTAAAAGAATGTGTTGTTTGAGTATGTGAACTTGGCAAATTGAATGTTACCCATCCTTCGCCTATAATTGAGAATACGAAAGATACAATTAATTACGAAGATATTTCAAATATCAAACTTACCCAAATTGACATTGTCAGGCAAAGTAAATTTAATATCGAATGCACCATAATTATTCAATTCAATTTTGGAAGCATGAAGTTGCTGACCACGAGGATCATGAACTGCATAATCAACAATACCTTGCGCATAAGTTGGTAGTTTCGCATCGCCTTTCATTGCCAAATATCGAACATAGCCTTTGATATGAACTTCTTCTTTCGGCTTATATAGACCTCGATCATTGAATACGTGCCAAACATAAGTATTCACATTTGAAGCATAGCAGTAGATGTCTGGTAATAAACATGAATCTTTACCTTTTCGTACTATCAACATTTTTTCTCGCCTCTTTTCTTTCGCAATATTCTGTACGATGGTGCACAGTCCTTGTTGATTTGTTTCACCTTTCTGATCCGATATGGAAACAGTTGTGTGTGGAACAGGTACACCAGTCATCAAGTCAGTTATCCACGTTGTAAATCGAATATTCGCGCCGTCACGTACCGATGAATGGAACACATCGATTGCCAATCGAGTACATTGTAACCAAGCCGATATGACAGGTTTTTCTTCCCATTCATGATGTTGACATTGCTTCCAGGCTTTTTCTGTTGGTTCAATCGAAATCATTAATTGACCAACACCTGTCTCCTGTGCTAGATATGATTTCAATGGAAATTTCATCTCTTTCGGTACATCACGTTCGCAATCCGTCTGTATTGTCTGATTTATTAATTCCTTTCCCGGCAGATGAGTATTCGCTACTCGTTCCCGACGTTGATGCAGATACGGTTGAAAACAAGGTAAATCTCGTCGGTAATCTTCTGGTTGGACCAGATTAACGCGAAGTGTTACTTCCGAATAATTATAAACCATAAATGGGTAAAATGGATCATCTAATACTCCAGGATCCATGATAATCATACCTAGAAGTAATTTCATATATGTAAACGAAAGTATCAATCGTGCAACGTACCTGTAACACCTGAGAGATGACCTCGTGGTGGCGGTGAATGGTGCACGTGGAACTCAATAGGTTGTGCAGCAAAATCATGCTCTAATGTTTGACCATGAATATCTTTCAACATTTCTGATTGAATAGTCAATGTGTAGACAGTATTTGGTTTGGAATTATTATGTATAATTATATGTTGATCATTGTGTTCGACGTGTTCAATACCTACAATTAGATTTTATTTTCATATGTCGATTCTCAACTTGGGTTACCTAAGCCGCTGACTTCTGGTTCAATTTTGAATATTGATTTGTTGATCGTTGAATGATTCAATGAGTTATTGAATGTAACCGACCAACTTTCGCCTGGATTAATCGATAGTTGGTGCCTGCCGTTCTTATTTGGTTGCCAGTGGGTAATTTTTAGAGGTTCATACGTTTTGAAGTCAGCTGACCATTCTGTTGCACTTTTTAATGGACCTTCAGCTGATGGGCACCCTGCAGGTACCTTAACAGAATATTGTGTTGCTTTCGAGAGATCAGTTTTGAATGTAAATGCAACACATCTCCCACCAATTCCTTCATTGGCACGAAAAAATCCTTCAAATTCCTTTTTTACTACAGCTTCATCCAGCAGTTCTAAATCATTGATTGTTATTCGACGTCGGTCATTGCTGACTATACATAAATGTTGCAGGATCTGATTTTGATCAATCTTTTGATCGAACAATAAACAACACTTCGGTTTTAATGTTGAAACTGTGCCAGATGGTGAGAAGTGAACAACGCTTGGTGGTTTTGTAACAAATTCGAATGCGAGTTCGTCCGCTAATTTTCCTAGGAGAACGAAACAAAAACAATTCAAACTTGATGAATTCTTTGCAAGACTTACCTCCAATAGCCGATACGCATTTGTCTTTCTTGACCTGTAATGTATACTTTGTTGCAAATGGTAAACGATGTTTTGCTTCAAACTGAACCGTTTTTGTTCCTGTCCATCGCCATCGACCTTCGATATGTGGTGTCAATGATATACCAAGACTATCTACATTCGTATTTTCATCCAGTGTAGAGACGGCGATCATTGGTTGATTGAATGTGATCGTAACTGTTGTCATTGGATGATTGATTTTAGTTTCGGTCGGAGAGTATCGTTCGATAATGAGCGGACCTGCTTCTTGTTGAGCTAACTGCTTTAATTTTTCCGGGTCGATATCAGCGTCCTCTCTACGATCTTCGGCAGGTGGTGGAAATGGTGCCTGGATGATTTGACCAGTTTTCGGTGCTTTAATTGATGCATCACGTTTGAAAAAATCTTGTCGGTCGTGAGATTGTGCAACTAATTGAGAACTGGCTCGAGAAAACAATTGTTGTAATTGTTCCTGAGTCAAGTTCTGTTGTTGTTGTGATTGTGAATCATCTACCAATGGTGATTCATCAGCACCGGTCGTAATTTGATCATCCATCTCATTTGTGTCGCCAAGAGCAAAGCAAAACTGAGGAGGCTCAGATGGTTCATTTTCGATCGGTCGAATAGGTGGTCGGATTCTTCCTAGCATAGTATTTCAATAAATCGAATGAAAACAAAGTAGAACTGAACTTTATCTAAAAAGAATACATCTATAGACACTTGCGATGAATAGAGTCTGATGTCAATGACTTCACAGTCTCTAATAGCACAGAGCAAAATTTTATCTCATCGGTAAAAAAAAGATACTTGTAAAAAGGTATGGGATAAGAATATATGAAACAGCGAGTATATGTGTCATATAATTATATTTGGCATGTTTAGTAACGAAAAATAAAAAAGGGAAGAAAAAAAAACGTCGAAAAATTCATTGGTTATAAAGGTGTGAAGTATGGGTAAATAAAAATTAACGTATGGAATAAAATTTCAGAGTTATTAATGCATGAGGACAATATTTTCTCTTAAAACTGCTTTGTGATAAAAATAATATGCAAGTAAAAATAATCGCTGGTGATTCATCGACATTTATTTCTCTTGACGATGTGTAGTAACTAATAGGAATTATCGAACTCGATAGATGGTTCTGCTTTTACTTTTTTTTCTATTCTGAACAGCTTGATTAAGACAATAATGATTTTGTTGTTGTCATCGTGTTTGGTTTTCGTGTACATCGATTTCTCAGATGCATATTGATGATTGAAAAACTTCGCATGCTCTTCGTATTCAAAATACAAAAAAAGCTGTTCGATGGGATTTCATAATCATGTATAAAACCATCCTATGTAAAAACCGTACACGTATAACATCAGACAATGTTTCATCGAACCGATCAATATTCCCGCAAATAGCCCTTGGCGACCGTTTGTAATGTTTTTACTTATATTATATTAAGTGGTTGATTCTGTAAGGAAGCGCACGACGCATTGTTATCTCCAATTAGACATAAAAAAGGACATTGACAGCGATGGCTATTCGCTATCAAAGTTTAACCACCCTGCGTCATGACGTACAGCTATTGCAATGTCCATCAGTCGTTGAAGACGTCTCGAGCTCAACCAGCAACGGATTCTGCACGAACACAGTATACCTTTTGCCAAGTAAAGTGAGTCAACATAATTATGCTTAATCTTGTGGATCATACCACGACTGGCGCCTTGCCAAAGAGACTCATGATCAGCAGTGTCCATGTAAACGTGGGCCATCACGGAAATGACTATTGCGTGCAACAGACTGTAATTCGCAGTATATTCAATCTTTACTAAATAATCCTTTCTTGTTCGATTATCCGTTCCGCTAATAAGTCAGACACTTGATGGTGAAGACAATCATGTTGCAAAAATAATCCTAACATAATATTATCTGACCCATGCCGAGTCAAATTTTTGCGTTTGATTAACAGAAATCATCGACACTGTCATTGATGGCAACATGCTGGTAACATCTCCATCTAAAAAACATAATAAAAACAACAGGATGATATATTCCGAATTGCGATCAAAACATCTTACGATCATATTATTACTGACTTCAATGGCAAGGTCTTATCTGGTTGCAGTTAAACGGTTGAAACGAACCGAATCTTGGCTTCATGAATTGCGTAACAGTATATGGTGAAAATTCCGCTCGGAACTGAAATAAAGGTGAGAGTGTTTGATAAATACTCTCATTACCAAGAAAACGCAAGGAAAATAAATTCTTTAATAAAAGTTTGATCGACACTACAGTGTTTACCGGTCGACGTTCTCTATGAATCATTTTGTAAGAAAAAATATTCTCTTTTCCTACTCAATGCGATAAAATATGGTGCAAAAAGAAGGTTTTTCTTTCCTTTTAACATTATCAAAAAGTACACATGGCAGCAAATACTGTTGCAAACGACTGTGTCGAGCAACAAGACAATAGACAAAATATCAATTCATGGAATACTTTCAAACAAACAGTTGTATGAGTTGAAGAAAGTGAAAAATGTTCACACCTTCTGAATTTGCTCGGTAAACAAGAAAGTAAGAATTAAAAAAAGAGATTGAACAAAATAACAGATTTTTTTCACTATAAATTTAAGGCACAAAATCATTGACAACATTAGTATATGTGAAGACAAGACGTAGTGTTGATATACTCGACGAATTGCTTCGAAATCATCATTTTTCTGTAATTGGTCTTCATAGTAATAAACAGCAAGATCAACGCGAAGAAGCGATTCAGTCGTTTAAAACTGGTCGAACACAAATTCTCGTCTCAACTATCATTGCTGTGCGTGGCAGAGATCTTTTGTAAGTATTTCACTGTAAAGAGATTTTATTTATGTTTCGGATAATTATAGAAATATTCAGCATATTGTCAATTTTGATTTCCCAGATAATATTGATGTGTATAGAGAATGTATCGCGCGAGTAAATCGTGATAGTGGTAATATCATAGGGGAAAAGAATTATCATTTGAAAATGAATCCGTTTTGCGTCTGTGTTAAGGACAAGTGACATCATTCTTCAACGAACAAAATTGGCCTATAGCCGGCGATTTGTGCAAATTTTTAAAACAATCGTATCAAGAAGTTCCTCAATGGCTCATCGATCATAAGTCTTGAATTTGTTGGTATATAAAGATTGATTACAACTTTCCTCACTCACTCCTGACAATCTTTTATTTCGAATAAAAATAAAATCCTTTTTAAAAATATCCATAGCCCATTCCATATCCACCATTAAACCCTCCACCAAATCCAAAACCTCCATTTGGATTTCCTCCAATCATATAATCAGCCGTTCGACCCATTGGACCTTAAATGAATACAACTTGAAAAAACAAAAAGATAAATCACACATGATTAAACATACCATTCAATCCTCCTGGAACAAACTGATTGATCGCCCAATCTGAAGCTAATTCTCCAAAACCCCCAGCAAATGGATTATTATTTCCAGGAAATCCTCCATAACCGCCAAACATATTTGTATAGAAATCAATAACTTTATATTTCAAATGACAAACTAAATTTTCAATATCTTTTTCGAGTATTTATATTACTTTCATTATGAATAATTAGTAGGCGAAAATATTATTCAGACATACGATAAAAGTGCATCATGCTTTTTATTCAATGAATAAAAATGACGTTTTATTTCTCATATTCTTATTTTCGATGTGAATAAGAAAAATAATTATTGAACTTATTAGTAATATCACACCCTTCTGAAGAGTATTCCACGTAAATCAATACTTTCAATACTCAGTACTAAGTATTGATATTGGTACATACGTAACCCCATCCTTGTGTTAATAATTATAGCAATTCTGATTTATTAATAAAATGATTCAAAAGGAAAAAAACGAACATAATTATTATGAAACACGTAGCATTTTATCCGATTTTGTTGGTAGCTTAGTAAGTACTGTTTTTCTGACTGATGTTCCTCCAACAGTTGTTAGCTCTTTCTCTATCGATTGCAAATCTTCTTCTGTAACATTTCCACTCCACATATCAATTCATTCGAGATAGTATTGTAATGGAGTGTCTAAATGAATATTGTTAGCACTTAGTACACGATTAACAGTCGTTTTAGCGTTCCGATCCAAACAGTCAGCGATTGTAAAATAATCGTTATAGCAATTTTACCATGAGTTTGCGCAGCAAATTGATCAAAATTTGTCTCTTCAGGCCATTTTGCATCGCGTAATTCAGGTTTTACATAATTACGTAAGACATTGTCGAAAGCGATTTCTTCAATGATTTCATAGAAAGAAATAATATGGGTAAGTGGTATTGTAGAAAAAAGTGCTCATCGAAGAACATCATCATGTAAACAAGTTTGTTGTCCAATATATTTTTCTACAAATGTCCGAAGAGTACCATTTCTAATTTCATTCTCTTCAGCATTACATAAATAGGTGAATATGTAATCTAATGAACCTATACTGTGAACAATTTCATTATGATTCATAGTTTTTTTCCATTTTTCTTGATCTTTTACAGTTAATGATTGTTGTCGAATTTGAGTGATTAACGAAGTATTTTCTGCAGAGAATTCAAATTTCTTAAATGTCATCTCAATGTCTTCAAAATCGTATTATTGAAATTTCCGAGAATTTCATTTTGCATTTTACTTAATGTATGTAAATAGGCGATGACAAGAAGACTTGTAGCATCTTTCGAAGTATTGATTAAAAGTAATGCTAAACTGGTATCACGAGCAAAATTTGCAACTGTCGTAGGTCGATCAGTCGAAGGTCTTTGACAACCTGCTTGAACTTCTTTTAGATCGAGTTGATACTATGCGTGAAGAAATTGATCGAAAAGAAGGCGGATTGTTTCCCGATCTGTACGTGTTTCATTTAAACAATCTTCAATTGTTTTCATTGCAGCATCGTAACGTTTAATTCGATAATTATATTTATGTAATAAAAATGAAGTGACTGCGGGATAAAGATTATTAGAAAATGGTAATGTATCGAATTTCATCTAATGGATTTGTTATTAAAATCTTACTCGAATTAAAAAAAGAAAGTTACGGATAAAGTTGCTCATTTTCACATAATTCACACGATATTCATTAATTTCATCAGTAAATGAAACAATATGTGGAAAAATAACATTTTGTTCAATGATTTGTTCTATGTCTATCACTTTCGTTTGTGTATCTAAACGACCGAATCGAGTCAATGTTGGCATTAACATATGATTAATTAATTTGTAAAGCCAAATGTAACATTGTTCGCGATCTGTACATGTTTGTGATAATAGATGATAATCTTTTTCTAAATGTTCTTCAAAATATTGTTGATGAGGAATATTCATTTGTTGTTGAAGATTTTCAAGAGATAAATAATCTAATTGAAATAGAACTAATAGTTGAGCATGAGTAAACATATGAAGAAAACGATAGGAAATTGATCGATTGATTCATCTGCTCGATCTGTTTTAGAGTATCCTAAAGGTACATATGGATTCAATGTATCCAAATGTTGATTAATCATTTGAAAACCTTGATCAATTGTCAATTGGATTTGAGGTGGCTGATGCACAACTAATACTCCATATTGTTCGGCACCGATATCTTTTTTACAAAGTGGAGATCGACTACGAGAATTAGGAACACCGCAATTTTCTAAATAAAACATCCATTGACATTCTTGTGAACACTGATACATAAATGAATTCTTTCGTACTATCTGATGTGTATCAAGACGCTCTTGGATTCTTGTTCGAACATCTAACATCTGTGTTACTATTGGATCACCGAAAACAAAGCCTAACAAGCAGATAGATTGGATATGATCGAGATAGGAAATTGGCATTTGTCGTTCATTGGTGAAAAATATATTACTCATTCATTTTTTGACATGGTTGACTCAACAGTGAAATAATTAGTTTATAACCAATGGGTATACATACTGTCAAGAGGAACAGACAGCAGCTAAGTTGAAATATGCGGATGCCAAATCATCATAAGCATTAGACAAATAATTCTATCGAAGTTCGGCACTTCTTTCATAATATTCTCTTGCATTATTGAGCTCATTATTCAATTTATATATGGACGCCACTATTCCCGCATAGATAGAAAAAGATCTCTGATGATAATCGAGCGCCAATTTCGTGTCTTTCTTTTGTGTGTTTTGCCAATTAGATGAAGACCCCAAGCGATGCTATGATGATCCGCTGGTAAAACCTCTTGACGAATTTTGATGCATCATAATGATATGTTAAAGCTTCGTCGAAGTTTTCTTCACATGAATAAATATTTCCAGTATTGGAATAACTAAATCCCTATAACAACATGTTTCAATGATAAGATTTTCTGTCTTATCTCAATTGATTCTGATTGATAATGAAGAGTTTCACTACAATTTCGCTGATGTAAATAAATTCGTCCGATACTATTATAAAATGTCGCAATATCGATCTCATTCATTCATATCTCATTTGTCTCTTCAAATTTGTCCATTTTATCATAAAGTCGAGCTCGATTGTAATGTATAAAAGCAATGTATTTCGCTTCGGAAGGGTTCGAGTGATCAACGAGATGTTAAGCTTTGTCGAAATGTTTCAAAAGTGTGCAAAGCATCATCGTTGAACTTTCACTTTTCATCCGTTGACGATGCTGTTTTATATTCTTCGATAATTTCTTGTGCTTTTTCGCTTGTTTTCATCTCTAACCAATAAGAATTTACTTGGTTGGTGTTTCTTAATAGACTGAAGTTGTTTTGAGAGATGAGCGATGTAATAACGAAAAATGTAAAGTTGTTTATGGTCTACTGTTCTTAAAAATCGATTTATCATTCGATAAACAACCGTATCTCTTGTGTACCATGTAATCAAATCCTCTTCTTCTGGATAATCCCTCTTGGAATCGTCAATGTTTTACCGGGTAAATTATTAACAACATTTTTGAATAATTGAAACCTAAAATAGAGAACAACATTACAAAGACAAACACTTCGACGAAGGTTACCAAAGAAATTCGCAATCGATTGTCTATGTTTATCATAAAAGGCAAACATATTTATTTGATTATTCATATCAATAATCATTCCTTTGATTGATTGAATAAGTTCACTATGATTACCACAGATATGCACTTCTTCTAATGCATCTTTATCGTTACAAATGATAAATATCGAATGTACTGTACGCGTTTTGTCGACAGATTTCAGCAGTTCCAATATCTCGTCACCAGTCTTCCGAGAAATTATGAGAAAAAAGTATTTATTACACATTGGTTGTCGAAGTTCTTCCAATGTTCATATAAGTGAACATGAGGACTTTGATTTGATTAATTATCGTCCTTACATTTTTTAAATCCATCACTTGAATTCATATTCGGATTGAACCAAATAGTGTTTAGATTGTCTTCTTCTTCTTCCATACAGTCTGCAGTATTGTTTGATAATTTCTCCGACGCTTTTCCTAAGAAGAAACTCTTTCTTTCTGTCGACTAAATTTTTATTCTAGTACCATTTACCGTGGTTATCAAGATAAATCTTCACAACAATGCTGAGTAGTGCTTTGATTTCTTTACAGGCGTTGTAGAAGAGGTTGTTCCAATTAGATCTGACCTTCTTTTTCTTGCATTCGTTCGAAGTATTTCTCAAGTTATATTCAATTCATATTCTAAATGAAAAGCAAATTGACTTTAGACAATTGTCGAAAGCCAAATGTGTTTACAGTGATATCATATTGATAATTAGCACGTTCACACGAACATCTCGCGCAATATACAATATTAGACTTATTGATTTAGGTAATCAAAATCTCAATGAATTAGATCCGTTATTTATGTATAACACAAATCTCAAAAGAAATCTTATACTTCGATAATAATGTTCAGTAAAAAATTACGCTTAATGGAAGTTGACCAAATCACTCTTTTTCATCAGAAACAGTTCGTAGACGATAAAAAAATGTGAAATATTTTGCGTTTTTCGAGGATAAAGTTTGTCTTACGAAAATTTGGAATGGATCATTGTCATTCAACTATTTCCTCTCGATAAGTTTCGATCGAGAGTAATCTACAGAATCGCCATGTTATTTCGGGTTTCTTTGAAATAACAGTGAATCCATCAGTATCGTCAACAACTTTGGCGCATCTTAACTGAAGATATTCAAAAGCGAATAGTTCAATTGAAGGATGGATTGAACCGGTCAACCCAATAGAGCAAAAGAAATTTATAGAATACAATAAAAGAATCAATAAACGATCGGGTTAAGCATATTGTGGAAATGGAGGTTATGATGAAGCATTAGAATTTTATAACAGGTCTATTCAACTAAATTAAACCATTCCTACAGAGTGCAATATCAATTTGACAGATTCTGTTAGTAGTATTAGTTTGGTTTGTGATGGAATTGACGAACATTCAAAAGCGATTTCATATTATGGACGAACTCGGCATGTCCTTTAAGAAAATCATCCGAATTTAGTTGATAGCTGATGGTTATGACAATATTGAAACTTTTTATGTCAACATAGGTCAGTATTCCGAAGCCCTTGAATATTTTCGAAAAGCACTGAATGACGAAGTACCATTGTAAGAGTATGTTTGAGCACATCAGTCAGAGTTATTGTGATCTTTTTGCTCAGTGGATGATTGAAAACGTTTTGAAAAGTTACCAGGATAGATTCACAATAATTTTGAAGTACCACCCAGAAATTTCAGACGTAGGATGGGCATATAGAATATTCAGACACTTCATTCTTCAAAGTTCGGCATCGTGGTGTCACAGCGTAATCTATTGCAACAACCACTTGCTGGTTGTGCAAGTTAGTGTTGCTTTTTGTATTTTTCGCTCGAAGCGAAAAAATCGAGTGTGTAAACAAACGCTTCGAAAAACGGACAAAATGAGCAGCAGCGTGCTCGCTGTCTGCCATTTGTTTGAGGAGCGTATAAGAATAAAACATTCCTGCTTGTATTATTTATTCTGCTCCCCATTTACAAGTAGGAAAGAAAATCATGCATACATTTTTTTCCAAGCAAGATGCTCTCACCCACTCACGAGCTCAATTCTTTAGAAAATATTCGATCAGATTAGAACTATAAGCAATTATTCAAATCACCGATATTCAGGTCAGAATTTTAATACATATAGGCGAGTTTTGTACACTAGAGAATCGGCTAACCTATCTCCGACGCTTTGTTTTCGCGATAACTCCTTAAAGACTAATCCAATCGTTCTGAAATTTTGTGCAAAGGACCACTCCATCAATCATTGTCAAGTTAGCATGAAGGAGCTATAGCACAACGAAACGATATGTTAGCTAAAAACGGTTTTACTAAACTCCATGGATGGGGCTTATTTAGTAAGAAAGTTTTTAGCTAGCATTCCGTTTTGTCGTGCTAGCTTCACATTTATACTTCATCGGTATTTCGTGGTAGAATTCGAAGAGAAGTTCAATCGATCGTATCACGATTGATTGACAGAAGAAGTTTTAATATCTTCTATTGATGTAAGAAAGAAAATTTTGTTCGTTACATACTGATGGCCACCTGTTTACTCATCAGAATAGCTATTGCCATCAAACTTTGCAGTCTAGTCGTTTAGATTTAAAGAAAGATTAACACGAGATTTAAACCAACAGAAAATATCGATAGGAAATATGCGGATGAAATGCACACGAACAGCCTTTTCCTGAGGTACCAACCTCTATAATCTACATCACCACCAATTAGTCCGCAGTGACTGTTTAGATCTCGAGAAAGGCTAACATTGTAATGGTCTCTGTTTGAAAAAATCAGTATAGAATATTTGGATAAATTCCATCGAAGTCATTTTTGTGTTAGTTCACGCCATCAAATTTTCTATGATACTTCTCTGAATAGAGATGACGGTAAGGTTACTCGGCTTTACTAAGCAGAATGAGGAGAGTGCCGTCCGGATGGAGTTTCACCCAGTTCGTCTTGTTACCATTTAGTCTTAAAAGACATTTCGGGGGAAAAAACTACCCAGGTCAACCAATCCGATGTTGGATCCGATCGGATCCGACCATCCGATAAAATCCTATCGGATTCCTGGTGATGGAATTGCATTAGAATCTGACTGTCGGATTACCAAGATATTCCGATAGGATACGGTCGTCGGAGCCCGAATTTTGAAAATCTCAGAAATCCGATAAAATTAGTATATCGCTGTATTCGGGAAAAATCGTCAGCCTGTCCGGTGACATACTCCGATTCTGATAAGACCTTCAGCGTTGCTCAAGTTCTTGATGCTGATCATTCTGGTAGTATAAAACTGAAATTTTATTTTTATCCTCCATGGTGGATAGTAAAAATACTACCAACGTTTTACGGTCACTTTCACAGAAACTTGATTTTTCTCTATGGAAACTAGGTCAAACCTAAGTATCAACGTAATATTCTGAATCCTCATGAAAATCTGCAACAGAATATTCTGAACTTTGAAAATCCGATTGATTCTAAGATGGATTTGGGAAATATTTCGGGGTTTCCATCAAAAGTGGCTTGAGCGAGATATTCTGAAGCCGTAGTTTACTAGACCTGCTTATGTCTTCTAAAATACCCTAGTGTTAGCGATAACAGATAGTACATTGTTATCGCTACCTTTTCTTTCTTTCTTTCTTCTTGTTCAGATCTATATGTCCTATGTGCGGTTCATCGGCGGGCCGGCAAAAAAATTTCAGTGATCATTACCACAGATATTCGCTTTTTTCTGAGGCGAAAGAATTTATCGCCCTTTCAAAAATTTTTCAGGGGGGGGGGGCGAGGGGGGCCAATTGCCCCCCCCCCCTCCGGCCCGCCGATGGTGCGGTTCGATGCCATGATATATAGTTCTTTTTTCTCTTTCTCTCTGGTTTCTCTCTATGCCGCCT